GGAGACCAGCAGGCCAGTGGGAGAAAGTCTGTAGGCGGGTGAGCATGGGTGACAACAGGGGAGGAAGTAGCCGATCCTGTCATCCTTGTCCCTTCGCTCCAGCACCTTGGGAGAACACTGTGGGAGGTTCCCTACGGTGCAGATGAGGCTCCTGCCCAACACTTAAAGAGGTTGTACAGATCCCTTTTAGAACTACCGGAGGCACCTGTGAACGTTTGTGCTGCTACGCACGACCTCTCCCCATGCATTTTTCGGCAGGAGTGACACACCGACACATAGATGAAATAAAATAGAATGAACTAACATGCCATCTTTTTGAAATACATCATTGTTTTTAAGGTGTGTTCATTTGAAAAATGAGTGCCACGATCAGGGAATTTTGAATGGGAATGTTATAAAGGAACAATGGTTCTCCACAACCAGGGAAGAGCGGCACAAAATTCCCACAAGTCTCTGCTTTATGGAAGTCTGCAGAACCTGTGGACAAAGTGAAGCAGTTCACATATACTGACTTACAGAGTGGGGCTTTCGAGGTGTTAGTAAAACCAGGGGTGAAATCTCTAGGCAAAGCCTTCGCGGTCCAGCTGGGTATGAGCCTGAACCCTGTGTCTTGTGTCCATGGGTTTGAAGAGGCTGTTGGGGACCCTCATTTCTTTGACTAGCCCATCCTACCCTGCAAACTTCCTGGTCATCCCCACTTTCCCCCACCCTGCTCTCCTCTCTCTGTTCTTTCCAGAACACTCTGTGTCCTCCCTCTTGTCCTGAAGCCTCAGGGATCCTGGGAGCCATCTTCCAAGGCAAGCTGGGCAGCTTGCCAGCCTTCCTCTGCTTCCCACTGGGACCCTCCCATGAGGACAGCTGTAGGGACCGTGCTGCCACACCAGATGCCTCCAAGAGGGTGACTGTGGAGACCCCCTCCCCGCCGAGGCTCCTGACATCCAGCTGACCACCACCCTCTGCCCCTCCTAGGAAGGGACAAAAGAAAGGAGAGACATGTGTCCCTGATGATAGGTCCTCAGAGACGACAAGACCTATCAGGGAAAGACCTGTGGCTGCCTGCTTCACTGCAGGGTGAAGCTAATCAGCAGTATTTCCTGAATGAAAGAAAGAAAGAGAGAGAGAGAGAGAGAGGAAGAAAGAAAGAAAGAGAGAAAGGGAGAAAGAAAGAAAGAAAGAAAGAAAGAAAGAAAGAAAGAAAGAAAGAAAGAAAGAAAGAAAGAAAGAAAGAAAGAAAGAAACGTGATGAGTGATGAGTGAGTGAAATGTCATCATCTGAGCCTGGCTTGAGCGTCCGCATAGACAACACCCAGCCCCTGCCTGTAAGCTCCCAGCGCTCCTCCACTCCAAGGAGCTTCCCTTTCTGTCTTTCAGCTCCCACTCCTGAGGCCACACCCTGCACCTCATCATCACCCGAAACTGCTGCGCCTCTGAAAGCTTAGCTGTCACCAGCCCCCTCAGCACAGCCCGCTGTCCTCCCTGCCCTCCCGCCTAACTCCCACCGCATGGCGCACAGCGCATGCACACACGTGCTCATGTGCACACATGCGTGCATGCACGCACATACACACATGTGCACAGGCATGCACACACATGCACAAGCACACAGAGGCGCTCATGCACTCGTGCGCGCACACACACGCATGCACATGCGCACACGCACACACAAGCCCGCCTCCGCCGCCTCAAGTTCTGTCACCTCCCCCGGTCTTGCTTCTTTCCCTGCCAGGACTGACTGTCTGAACTTCCATCTCATTTGCACCCTTGTTCTCTCGCGCTCTTTATATATACTAGATACCAGTCCTTTTTGGTATATGTGTTGTGAATATTTGCTCCCAGTTTGAATTTTGCTTATTCATTTTCACTATGTTTCTTGATGATCAGAAGTTTCTAATTTTGATGACGTCTAACTTGTCAATTTTTCTTTTGTGATTACAGATTGTGTGTGTGTGTGTAGCCTAAGAAGACTACATTCTATCCCCCAAGTCACAAGATATTCTCCTGTTTCTTTTTTTTTTATTTTATTTTTTAATTTTTTTAAAGATTTTATTTATTTATTTGACAGAGAGAGAGACAGCGAGAGAGGGAACACAAGCAGGGGGAGTGGGAGGGGGAGAAGCAGGCTTCCCGCAGAGCAGGGAGCCCGATGAGGGGCTCGATCCCAGGACCCTGAGATCATGACCTGAGCCGAAGGCAGTCGCTTAAACAACTGAGCCACCCAGGTGCCCCACCTGTGTTTCCTTTTTAAAGTCTTAATGGTTTAACTTTGATGTTTAGATCTATGATCTATTTTGAATTCATATTTTTTTGTATGGTGTGAAGTAGGACTCGAGGTCCATTTTCCCCCGTCTGGAGATCCAGTTGCTCCAACACCGTTTGTTGACAAGAATTACCTCTCCTCACTGGATTGCTTTGGTGCCATTGTTGAAAATCAGGTAATTACATATTAGGGTTTATTAGTGGGCTTTTTATTCTCTTCTATGATCTGTTTGCTGACTCTTACTCTAGAAGCTATCTTGATTACCATAGCTTTATGGTATGTCTTAAAATCGGTAGTGTAAGTCCTCTAACTTTTTTTTCCAAAAGTGTTTTGGAAAAAAACTTTGTATTTCTACACATTTTCAGCTTGTCAATTTCTACAAAAAAAAAAAAAGCTCACTGGGATTTTGATTAGAATTGCCTTGAATCTGGAGATTAATGTGATGAGAATGGACATCTTAACAATAAATCTCATCTTGAATTATTTATTTATCTCTCGCACCCCTCCCTAACCTGCTCTTACACTATCATGCCTGCCCCTGAAACTGGGAGGCACCCTGAATGTGGTCCTCTCCCTTAGCTTTAACAACAATCACAGGCCTGCCGATTTTTCTCCCTAAATGTATGCTGAATCCATTCTTACCTTTCCCTACTACTACTTTGCAGAATGCAGGCCTTCCTCCTCACTCACTTAGAGAATCGCAATCACTGTTTACCTAACTGCACTCTGCAAAGCTAGCTTGCGCAGCAGCCTCCGAGACGCTCTTTTGCAGATCCAATCATGCCACTCTGGCTCGAAGCTCATTAGCTCCAGGACGAAGTCCCAGCTGCCTTAACTTGAAATGCACCATGCTCCTGATCTAGCTCTTTCCCACCTTTTCAGCTGCCTTTCCTGATAACCCCTGTACCTTCCGCTTTCTGAAAACCTCCCCATCCCCCAAATGAGTTAGGGGACCCTCCTTGATGTGCCCATTATGCCCTGTACATAAGAAAGGGTATCTAATGTGGGGCACTTGTTCAAAAATTAAGAATTTCATGATGGTGACAGCAGAGTGTTAAGCCAAGTATAAAGCTTTTCTGAGCACAGGGCCCTGTGTAACTGCATGGGTCCTTTGCACATCTCGTACTTGTAACTGTGTCTGTTTCCTGTACAGCAGGAAGCCCTAGAGCTCTGGAAGGCCCAGGCAAGTCATCCAGAAAATGAGTTGCTTTTTCCTAAAATCAGTGGCTTTTGTCTTTTGGTATAATCTGATCATTTTAAATGCTCTTCGAAGGCAGAACATTGTATTTAGTATTGTAGTCCAGTTACTCGGTCCTCAAAATTAAGTCAACGAATACCTATGCATAAGACCCACTGAGATCAGAACATTGTGAGCTCTGACGGAATGAATTTGCTTGTGGCCACAGTGTCAGCCAACAATCCATCATAAGGAGAGGTCGTGATAGGATTTCAGGCACAGAAATCACCCGTTGGTATTCTGTAAGTATAATTAGCCTGTGTTCATTCTCCATACATTAAACACTCCAAATATCCCCTTCCAAATAGGCTGGAAATGCATGCACATTCGTATTTGCTATTCTTTATACAAAATGTAAGTGATTGAGGAGGAAATGTCTACTGAGGTAGCATCTCACTGTCTGGGGCTGGGTGTGGGGTGATGACTGTGGTCTGGTTTGGGGCACGGTCCTAGCGAAGGTGTTTGCGGTCAAGTGTAAGAAGTCTTCCAGTCTGTTCTACTGCTCAGCTGCCCCGGTTTGATTTCTCCCTCTCCGGGATTCCTTAGCAGTGTGGGCTATGCCCTATGCAGGCTTTTATTCCTAACACGCACAAGGCCTGGCAGCAGGTCCAATAAATGTTTGGCTGATGAATGCGTGAGAAGGGGGAGGGAGAAAGGGGAAAGAAACAGGGGCAGACTTCAGGGCAGGATTCTATTATCTTGTGGAAATAAGATAACTTCCTTCCCACCCCCATCACCTAAATCCGACAAACAAACAAAACAAACTGACTTAATCTAAAGTCCAGCTTAGCTTTGTTCTTAGTGTAGGTAATGTATTATTCTGGTTCACTGAAGACCATTAAATGCCCGTATTAATAATATTAATGAAAACAATAATAAATTTATATCAATAACGTTTATGAAGTGTTATTTTTTAATAACATGCATATAGCTTTAATCATTTTTTAATTTGGTTATTCATTTATTTATTCATTCAACAGACATTGAGTGCCTATTATGTGTCATAACTAGGGAATACATTTCCATGATCAAACATTCTATAGTGTATTTTACCATTGGACATTTGTGGATTTAAACATAAAAAAAAACTGGGCGCCTGGGTGGCTCAGTTGGTTAAGCTCTGACTCTTGTTTTCAGCTCAGGTCATGATCTCCTCTCCTGGGTTGTAGGATTGAGCACCATGTGGGGCTCCACACTCAGCAAGCAGTTTGCCTGGGATTCTCTTTCTTTTTCTCCCTCTGCCCCTCTCCCTGCTCTCTCTCTCTCTCTCAAAATTAATCAATCTTAAAAAAAATAATAAAAAAGTGAATCTTTCTAACAGCGAAAAAGTTAACTGTATATTCCTTTTTCTTTCCTATCCAAGCCACATGAAATGGCCAAAAGGCATAACATTAGGTCATATAAAAATAAAGAGCAGCACCAATGTGCATATGCATCCTTGAAAATGGAACCATTATCTAGTATACCCTCTGAAATCTGTATGCCAATTCAGCTCATGGAGAAAGTAATAGATATGACTAATTTTGGTATCATAATGTCACCTACAGAGCATTTTCTTATGTTTAATTTCACTTGAAACCTGCCTCCTAGAAGCTTACAACCTAAAGCAGACATATTGACAAATGTCTGAACTGTGCCTGGCATGCGGTAATAACTCAATAAATACTTGTGGAACAAATGTATGAGTGAGTATGGTTATAGTACATGTGATCAAGGGTAAAGAAGGATTAAGATAATACAAAAATACAAAAAATTTACAGTAAGTCCTGAAGGCATTTCAATTTAATTCAAACGTGGTGTTTACACATAGTAGCAGATGAATACAGTTTGGTGTGCTTAACCAAACTGAATTTGTCAAATCCTGGCTGTTTGCCAGGACTCTATTGCATGGAGGGAGGAGTGACTGTCTTTCCCTCGGCTGGACAGACAGCTTGTGCTGGATGGTGGTATTGATGGCAGTGATGAGGACTATCCAGGTGTGGTCAGCAGTGATCTAAAATGACCCGATGACCCTCACCTCTCCGTGATTCCTTCCCCTGTGCATATGATTGGATATTATCTTATGTTACACTGCAGAAGAGATTTTTGCAGGTGCGATTAAGGTTATTAATCAGTTGATCTTGCAATAGGACCTAACTTACTCACACAAGCCCTTTAGAAGAAGAGTTTTCTCTGTTGGACACAGAGGAGGAGATCAGAGAGACCCACTCTGAGTGGCCTGAAAGAATGCAAGCGTCTATATCATGAGCTGCCAATGGGGGTCATGGGGGACAGACCTGAGACCAGCCTCTGGGAGCTCAGAGTGGCTCCCAGCTGACAGCCAGCAAGGAAAACAAGGGATCTCAGTCCTTCAACTGCAGAAGAATGAATTCTGCTGACAAGAATGAGCTTGGAAGCTGATTTTTTCCCCAGAGCCTCCAGACCAGAACTCAGCCTGGCCACCACCTTTGTTTCTGCCTTAATCTAAGTCCAGCCATTCCATGCCAGACTTCTGACCTACAGAACTGTGGAGCCAATGTTTATGTGGTTTTAAGACACTCAGTTTGTGGTAGTTTGTTATAGAGCAAGAGAAAACTAATGGCATTTTTAAGATAGGGAAATTTGCTCCACGGGTTATGGGTAAACCTGAGTGATGATGCAGAGAAGCAGGGAGATGGGCAAGCGTGGGATCCCGGGCTCCCAGGTGGGGAAGGCTTTGGCTAGAAGGAGGAGGGGGCTGCTCACTGTCACTCAGGCAGGGTCTGCATCCTGTCTCTCTCATGCAACCTGGGGCAAATTTGTTTTTCTTTTAAAACTTTCAAACCTACAGAAAAGTTGAAAAAACAGTATTTTCAACATCTCACATACCCCTTTACATAAATGGAACAATTATTAACATCTTTTGTAATATTGGAAAATTAATCCTGCCTCCTCCATAGGTCTCAGTGAAGCTTAAAGAGAGGAGACTTGTATAAAGCATTAAATTAGAATGCTTACCATCCGTGCAGTGAAGTTGGTGATTTTATTCTTATTAATTCTGGCAACATACACTTAGCAGCATCTACACAGGGCGAGACACTTCCAATTCATCAGAAATCTGATGTTCTATCTTGCAGTTTAGGAATCTATGGAGATGTGGATTAGTAAATAAAAAATTACAAATTCTTCAACCTTAAGTAATGATCATTCAGGTAAGGGGAAAAGAAATCTCACTCTCAGTATTGGCTTAGCTTATTTTTTAAAAAACATTTTACTCTGAAATAATTTTAGATGTACAGAAAAGTTGTAAATACACCAAAGAGCGTTCCCATATGCCTTTCATCCAGCTCTTTCTACTCTTACCATCTTCCACAACCATGGCATATTTATCAAAACTAAGAAGTTAACAGTCGTGCAATACTATTAACTAAACTACTGATTTTCTTCAGATTTTCTGATTTCTTCCTTTAATGTCCTCTTTCTGTTCCAGGATCCAACACAGGACACTGCATTGCAGCTAGGACTTACTTTTTTTTTTAAATGTTTGACTTGAAGATATATAAATATAAACCCAGCTATAAGTTTATTGTGGTTTTAGCTCTTGTGTTACTATACACCAAAGTAAACCTATGTGTTATTTTCAAGCAAAATGTTAAAAGTTCAAACCAATGTAATTCAAATTAATTTAATATGATGATTGAGACTGTTTTGATGAAAACCATTTGCCACTTTGCTAAAGGAATACAGCACCTCATGAATTCTTTTGCATTCCCTGCCCCCTCCTTGATCAAGCTGATTTGATTCTTCCCATTGCTGTTCTCTACTTGATGAACCGTAAAACCTTCTTTCACACAGTGGGCCACGACATCACTGGACTTTCACTTGACTCAAACTTGTCCCTATCACGTTACTTCATACCATCCTCCTCTCCTTCTAATCACTGAGCCAGGACAATGAAAGTAGTGACACAGGGCACCAGTGAACTGTAAATGAAATGCAAACCCGGCATTGACACTGAACTTCTTTCAGAAGATGGCCAACCAGATAATCAGAGATGTTTACATCAATTGTTGAAAAGACTATCACTGAAATAAAAAAACAACAACAACAACCTAAAGGTTTTTTTGAGAATACAGCTGTAAAATTCCTGCTTAAGAAACACTGCAATGAGATTATATACAATGTTTGGTGAGAACTAAGATACTTTAAGGCTTCCGGGAGACGGAGAAGGATGAATGGGAGTGACCAAGGTTTGCCGAGAGAGGGAGTTGAAAGGAGTCAGAAGAGCAGGTGTGGCGGCATGAAGACGTGAGAGAGGGTCTTGTATTTTTCAAGCTGTAGGTAACTCAGCCTGGAGAGTCTAGGGGGTGAGGGTCAGGGTGGGAGAGGATTGGGGGAGGGGCAGCATCAGATACTGAGACTAGAAGGCCAGAAAGGCCAGCAAAAGTGGGCAGATGTGTTCTTCCAGGTTTGGGGAAAACTATAGAGCTTTGAATTGGAATGTGATGTGATTAGATTTTCCCATTAGAGAGGATTTTTGTCTCCTGTGGGAAACAGACACCAGAGAAAAGGATTACAATGGGTCAGGTGAGAGAGGATGAAGGTTTGAACTCCTGTGGCAGTGGGAACAGAGAAGAAGGAATCTGACATCTGAAAAGTAGAATCAGAAGGATTTGGAGATCAATTGGCCTTGGAGGGAGAGAACTGAGAGAGGCATTTTGGATAATACTTGAAAGTTTCTGAAATGGCAACTCAGAACATTTAAGTTATTTGGAGCCTAAATTTAGTCTTTTCGTAAACAGTTCTAACTATTTTTGTTCCCAGGACTAAATAATAGCAAGTAATGCATAGTGCTCACCATGTCAGGCACTGTTCCGAGTGCTCCATCTCTACTGTATTTTACTGAATCTAAAAGCCCAAGGGGGAACCTGGCTGGCTAGTTGGTAGAGCATGTGACTCTTGATCCCAGGGTTGTGAGTTTGAGCCCCACGTTGGGCATGGAACCTATTTAAAAATAAATAAATAGATAAATAAATAAATAAATGCAAGCCCATTAACTGTAAGATGCACCATTACATCAAGTACCACTAGAGGAAAAATCTGTCAACTAAGCACGCGTGACACACAAGACACACTCTCATTTCAGGGGTGTTAAAAATAGATGTCTTGGACTCACTGATTTATGGCATATGCTCATTTTATCTTTACAACAGCCCTCTGAAGTATGTACTCATATTATCCTCATTTTTCAAATGAGGAAACAGAGGCAGGGAGAGATTAGGTTAACTCACTGTATCTAGGCTCTCTCTGGGTAGCCAGTGGTAGAATCAGGATTTGGCCCCAGGCAATCTAGCTCTGGAGTCTGTTCTCCTAGCTCCAAGAATAGGCATCTAATAAGCACTACATTCAAAGTTCAGTATGATCTCAGAACTGTTTGTGTTATACACAATACTCGAAACACTGGAGAAACTGCACCGTGCTTTGCAGTTCTTTTTTTTAAAATTTTTTAAAGATTTTTATTTATTTATTTGACACAGAGAGAGAGAGAACAAGCAAGAGGAGCGGAAGAGGGAGAAGCAGACTCCCTGCTGAGCAGTGAGCGTGACACAGGGCTCAATCCCAGGACTCTGGGACCATGACCTGAGCAGAAGGCAGACGTTTAACCAATCGAACCACCCAGGCGCCCCGCTTTGCAGTTGTCCTCAGTGGAAAGTAACCCTAGAGAGCAGCAGTAGGTCAAACCCTCAGGCCAGTGACTGTGGGGAGGGAGCTGTCTTGGCACTAAGGAACCAAGAACACCTTGTTTTATCTCGCAGAAAACACTGTGTTCCCTTGTGTGTGGTTTCTGGGTCAAAGCTCTGACATTTCTTGTTGGAGACATAAGATGTAGAAATGGACATGTTTGAAACAATAATCATCTGGCATAAGATATGCTGGGCTGTTTTTTTTTTTAAGATTTTATTTATTTAGGGCGCCTGGGTGGCTCAGATGGTTAAGCGTCTGCCTTCGGCTCAGGTCATGATCCCAGGGTCCTGGGATCGAGTCCCACATCGGGCTCCTGGCTCAGCGGGGAGCCTGCTTCTCCCTCTGACCCTCTCCCCTCTCATGCTGTTTCCCTCTCGCTCGCTCTCTAAAAAATAAATAAAATCTTAAAAAAAAAAAGATTTTATTTATTTATTTGACAGAGAGAGACACAGCAAGAGGGGGAACACAAGCTGGGGGAGTGGGAGAGGGAGAAGCAGGCTCCCCGCAGAGCAGGGAGCCCGACGCAGAACTTGATCCCAGGACACTGGGATCATGACCCGAGCCGAAGGCAGACACTTAGCGACTGAGCCACCCAGGCGCCACGATATATGCTGTTTTTAATATTACCAAAGGCCACACTGTGTGGTTCAAAGAATTAGGACTTTGGGTCAGGATGAGCAGTGATAAATTAATCGATTCATTTTTATTAAGAAATACTTACTGAAAGTGTGCTACATACTAGGCATTGGGTTGGCCCAGGGAACCCAGAGATGAATTAAGGTCCAGCGCTAAGGCCTCGACACAGGGTTTGGAAAAAAAAAAGAAAAGAAAAGAAAAAAGAAGGCCCAGAGTTGCCACGGAGTCTAGATGGAGGGGGTGGTCAGACAAGTGCATTACACATTTTCCTATAGTAATAAAAATGAGGGAGGAAGAAGATAAAAGGAGACTGTCCCAAGTTTAATAAGGGAAGACGTTTTATGGGCTCTTGAAAAACGACATTTTAGTTAGCCTTGAGAGGTCGTGGTGACTTAAGGAAACCAGAGCACCTGAAGGAAACCTCCAAGCCTAGGCTTCCAGGACAGCATTACATCCAAGTTCATTATTATTGTCCTTGTAGGGTGTATTAGATTACCGTGTCTGTTGCTAACAAAAATCTACCAAGAAGGTATAATTGCCATAAGGTACTTACACAGTACAGTGAAAGCATAAGAGAATGAACAAGATATTCAAAAGGTGAGTTTTGAGGCACTGGTGGAATCTGGATATAAGGAGAAAGGGAGGGCATTCCAGAATCCAGATTAGCATGAGCAGAGACAAAAACCAGAATAGTGAAACCAGTGCTAATGAATGAGAAGGCAAATTTAGGGGTTGGTGGGAGACAGGATTGAATAAAGTGAAATGGCCTATGGCCCTTAATTATCAAAATTTGTAGGATGGGGCTGCCTGGGTGGCTCAGTCGGCTAAGCATCTGCTTTGACTCAGTTCCTGATGTCAGGGTCCTGGGATCAAGCCCTGCCTCAGGCTCCCCGCTCAGCAGGGACTCTGCTTGTCCCTCTGCCACTCCCCTCACCCCCGCCTGTGCTCTTTCTCAAATAAATAAATGAAATCTTTAAAAAAATTAGTAGGTTAGGTCTATATATCTTCTATCTAACACAGAGTACTTAATAAGTGACAGATACTATTGTGTTTTATAATCAATGGGCTTTTACATTTGTGGAAATAAAAGTATCACTTGTATAAAATTATTTAAGATTTCTTGGAAATCATCCTGCGCATTTTGGAAAACAAATGTTTTCATTTTTATGACTTGCTTAAAAGGTCTATTTTATTATTGCTGTGAAGCCCGTGATCTTTCCACTGTGGCACACTGCCTCCCCCAGGAGGATGACAGTCCTGCATACTTCCCCAAAGAAACGCTCAAGCAGAAAGTAGACTCTGGACCGGAACTCTGAGGAGAGTTACAACAAAAAGAAAATTGCTAAGCCCCAAAGTCCTCACCCTACCATAAACTAACATAGCCTTGCTCAAAATGACCCACCTCAGTTACATGTAAGGGACGTGGTACTATGTTACAATTTCAAAGGGACCCGTTTGACTGCCGTTAACCTACACTTTCCCCTTAACTTTTCATCTAAGCCAAAAATTCTCCAGTCCTCACATCTAGTAAAGGCTGTTCTCTATGTAACTGGACAATCAACAGAGTCTGCGAACTTTCTGGAAACGATGTGGTGAGGGGCTGCGTCTGTCGTAACTGTCATACACCCGCCTCAAAAGACATCAGTTTCAAAGAACTTCTCCCTTGAGCTCCCCTCCTTTTACCACTTTCCTTAGTATGCCTTTTCTTTTCTTTCCCTCCTTAGAGGATGAATGTCAAACAAATCCAGACGAAAGTAACATTTTTAATACACTAGCTTTAAAGAGCATTTATTTGTGATGTATTGTTGCTGAAACCCTGGAAAGAAAAGAATACAAGTCCGCTCTGATTCCCCTGACCCAGCCCCCAAGGCCTCCGGTCGCCTGGCCAGCACCGCCTGCCCCAGTCGGGACCGCGACACCTCGGCCAGGACAGCGACCCTAGGGGCTTCCTAACGTTCGGGGTGTGGAGGGGAGAGAGAGCGCGGCTCCGGACCCTCACCGTCTCGGGGTCGCCTCGCCAGAGCCCCACTCGGTTCCCTGCTCGCCTCGCCACTTCCCTCTTCCGGAAACCGGCGCTGTCCGGCGCGGGGAATGCGTCATCAGCCGGCGCCCGCGCCGCACGCCGCACAGTCGCGCCGCAGACACGCTTAGATTCTGACGCTCGCGGGCGGCGCGGGGAGAGGGGCCCGGGGAGGAACGCGGGTCGCCGCTGCTCTGCCCTGGCCATGCAGGTGTCCAGCCTCAACGAGGTGAAGATTTACAGTCTCAGCTGCGGCAAGTCGCTGCCCGAGGTGAGGCACTTCGCGGTCCCCCTCCTGATAAGGCAGCCGCCCCTCCCCTCGGCCCTGGCCTCTGGGTGTCAGCCTCGCCCTGGCCGGCCCCTGGCTCGGGGATGCCCGGAGGCGAGGGACGGTGCCCAGGGGGAGCTGGTCGGTGCTGGTAGATGAGGACGCTGCTGTCCCCGCGCCAGAAGCTGGGCCGAGGGTGATCAGGGTCGGTAAGCTTTGCTGGAACTTTTGTCAAGATCTCTAGAACAGAGGACGCGTCCCTTCGGGCTTCTAGGGATGTTCCCAGCTTCTGCCGCACAGAGGAGGAAAGCGTGGACAGATTGGTTACAGACCCTTCTCCCCCATTCATCAGCTGTTTGTTGGATGCCTGTTGTATGCCAAGTTCTAGAGATAGAGCAGTGAGCAAGAAAATGCATCTGCAGAATTTACGGTGTAGAGGGCAGTATTTCTGAACCTTGCTGACCTTAACTTGATTTCATCCAGTCTTAGGACCTCAGAGTTGGAAGGGGTTGGGAAAATAGGGATTTATTTACAGTCTTCTCATATTTAAAATGTGTAATAGATCCAGTCGTGGGAAGGGTGGCTTATCCAAGCTCACCCTTGATTGGGTTTTTTATTTCTTATAAGTCTTGGTCAAGCCTCTGTCCAAGCACTTCCAGTGAGAGGGAGCTCATTTCCATTTTTAGATTACTGGTTAGATATTGGTTTTAAAACTTGTCATTTTATAGCATCCTGGTGTTGGTTTGACTCTTGCCCTTAGAAATTAGAATAAATGGGGCGCCTGGGTGGCTCAGTTGGTTAAGCGACTGCCTTCGGCTCAGGTCATGATCCCGGAGTCCCTGGATCGAGTCCCGCATCGGGCTCCCTGCTCGGCAGGGAGTCTGCTTCTCCCGCTGACCCTCCCCCCTCTCATTCTCTCTCTCTCAAATAAATAAATAAAATCTTTAAAAAAAAAAAAAAGAAATTAGAATAAATGTAGGTCTTCCCCGTGTCTGCCCCTGAAAGATTTGGAGTCAGTGATTAGATTCTTCCTTTTCAGAATTCAGGCTAGATAATTCCTCATCTCCCAGTTATTCTTCACACAGCGTGATCTTTCTCATTTTGTTCATTCTACACATTTGTTAAGAAGTAACTGCGTGCTTGCAGCCCCGTTCTGAGATTGGGATGTACACGTCAGATAAGGTTCCCTGTTGGGAAAAAGGATGAGTGAACAAATGAGAAGACAACTTCAGATCATGATAAGTGCTCTGAGTGATGTGTGACTAGAAGAGTGCGTTGTGGCTAAAGTGGTCAGAGAAAAGTGTTTTGGATAACGCCTTCAGGGAAGGCCTCTCTACAAGAGGTGGTAGGAGCAGAAGCTTGGATAATGGAAAGGAGCCGGTCATGTGAAGATGGGGGAAGAGTTTTCAGTGCTGAGAGAACAGAAGGTGTAAGTGTTTCCAGGTAGGAGTGCACTTGGCATGTTGGAGAAACAGAAGAGGCACAGGTTTGACTGTGGTATGCTGAGGGGAGAAAGTGGGGGCGGGTAAGGCTGGAGAGGTGGGCCTTGAAGGCTCAGGTAGGAGGTTAGAATATTATCGTTAGTGCTTCTGGAAGCCATTGCTGGGCTTTAATCTGGGCTGCTGTGTGCAAACGACTGTAGCTGGGGAGAGGGTGGGTGGGGATGAGGTAGATAGACCACCTGAGAGACTTGGACTTTGGAATTACGCTGCCTGCTACACTGAGAAACATTAATTTCAGAATAAAATCTGTCGATGAATATGACTTAAAAGTGCCTTCACTTTTAAGTCATATTCACTTCTTCATTATCAAGCATCAGCTGTTTGGTTAGTTAATGATCTAGTTTTGTTCTTTGTAAAAAAAATATGTTACTTATTAATATTTCACTTCAATAAATAAAGTTATTCCATATGTTAGTTGTAACCCATAATATTTGAGGCTATTGCCTTCTGGATGAATTGGTTTTCTTTTGTGTAAAACATAGTAGTTCTAAAATTGATTGTCTAATATATGTAAATATATATCAGAAAAAATCCAGAGGATATGTTAACAGGGTTGGGATTACAGAATATTTTCACTTCCTATGTTAATATATTCCTATAAGGTTTTGATTTTTTAATATGAGCATTTTTGTAAACTTTAGAAAAACAAAGTAAATATAATTTGAAATAAAGTCTCTTCATTTTCTTTAAGTGGCTTTCTGACAGAAAGAAGAGAGCACTACAGAAGAAAGATGTCGGTGAGTATTATTTTTTTCCCCACTTTGGCTACATTCATGATCCATGTTACAGTGCTTTTACACATTTCTTGTTGTATTTAAGTGGAGGTTTACAAAAATAGTACGGTTAATACAGTGGAAAATATACTTTTTGCCCTTTTCCTTCCTAAGAAACTTTTTGTTGTGGTTGATATGTTCCTGGTGAGCGTGAGGTTTAATTCGACCTACTGAAAAGCTGATTAGTTAGCCTGTTACTATTTCATGCATAATAGCAGAGGACGTGACTCCTGGGATGGAGGTGAGGACTCCATTACTCAATGTGACACAGCAGGTGGTCTGAGTGTCAGCATATTGCTGTCAGTTTTCCTTGCCCTGAGTTCCCCAGGGGCACTCAGCAGGGTCCCCATGGCTGCTGGGCACACGGCGGGGGGCTTGTGTTGCAGCTGAGGAACACCGAGCTTAGGAAGTCCACTGCTCTTATAGCAAACAGGAAGCAAGCCTGCTCTTTGTCCAGAGGAGACATGTTACCTTACCTGTCAAGGTTCTCAGCTCTACAAATAACCCTGAGAAATGGCTCAGGTAAAGGCATGGCCAGGGCATTGCGATCTTGCCGTACCTAGCAAGATGTACAGGAATGCAAGAGACCTAAGGAGGATGGTCTCTCCTAGCTGTACCATAACTGCTTTGTTCTCCATTGTATCCAAATCTTTTTCCTGAAAGATAATTGCAGAAGATTTTGATTTTTTAATTTATGGTGACCAGGAAAAATAAAAGATCGATTCTTTTTCTTTTTTTTTTTTTTTAAGGGGGACAGGCAGATCGTGACTCCCAGGCATCCTGCAAAGTAGGCCGGTCACCTTAGGGGCAGCCTATACCTGCTTAAAAATTGATCTCACATTAACAGTGGGGTTTTGGGTGTCACACTGAATTGTTACTTTCCTTACTCATAAATTTAAGGCATCAATCAGTTTGTTTTTTGTTTTTTGTTTTTTTTAAACAAATTTTCACTAAATTTTCTCCACCACAGCTTGTCATAGTGAAAGATGATTTATCTTTCCATATATGTTGTTTAATTCATCTCTAAAAATCAAAGACTAAGATGTTGAAGGCGTTTCTTCTGGGTATGAGAGAAATGCCCCAAGGCAAGCGTCTTGGAAGAGAAGGCTTTGTATAGATAGTACTGAGGTTAGATGAGAAAACTTTGAATCAAAGGAAAACAAGAACTGCTGCCTTAGTAATGTTCACTGATTCGGATTTCTTCTGATTCCCCCATCCACTTCAGCATCCTAGCGTGTAGGAAAGCAGATCTGGATTACTTAGAGGAAAAAACTGTTCGTCAGCTCTTTCTCTCAGCCCATCTCAGAACTATCGTGTGTCTTCCATATCGAGTGGGCCATTCCTACTCTGTTTGAGTCTTATATTTGGGTTTAATTTAATAAACAAGGCAGTAATGTGCCGTACAGTCATAAACGGACCTTGCGGTAGACCCACTGTTAAGATAACAACCAGCAAGAATCCACACACATTCATATAGAAGCGAACCAGGTTTTTTGAGTCAGTTTTGATCCAGAGAGATTGCTCTAAGTCTTACTCTAGCCTGGGTCCTCTTGGCTCAGAGCTCTGGTGGCAGCAGAGGCAAAAGTCAGCTTGGTAGCAGTTTCTTAATATAAACCTAAGATTTTGAGGATTTTAAGCTTGTTATTATTTAGGAGGAAAAAAATGATAAGATTTTTGTCTTAGCCATGACTGAGTAGTGATAGCATAGCAGTGTAATGTTTGTCTTTTCCCCCTTTATCCAGGTCTTGAAACTGGATGTTTGATACACAATTGTGAACATTTTTCTTTTCAATTAGTGATACTTTTTTCTTTTTAAAAAGTAAAAATAAAATACTAATGTATAAAATAAAAAACTAATGTATGAGCTAAGAAAAAACCTCCCTGTGTGATGGGTGGGGCTGTATGGATGTGCTTTCCCAAGGCTTGGAAGCACCGGGACATTGTTGACCTGTTCGCAGTGACTGCTCTGTGTGCTTTGTCTTTTTAGGAAATAAAATAAGCACTTGGTAGTTAAATCCGTTTCTTATTTCCTCTCTTCATAGATGTCCGCAGGAGAATTGAACTTATTCAGGATTTTGAAATGCCTACTGTTTGCACCACTATTAAGGTGTCAAAAGATGGACAGTATATCTTAGCAACTGGTAAGCATCTTTTTGGTTAATGATTTCCATACATTTCATAGCAGGAAGTGCTAGGATGGGAAAGGTCACTTTTTTTAATTACCTTAACATTTTACTATAAAAAATTTCAAACCTACAGAAAAACTGAAAAAATTGTACAATGAACATCCTTTTGCCCACCACCTAGATTCTCAGTAGTATTTTGCTTGGTCATATCTGTCCATCCATCAGTCCAGCCTGTTTTTTGATACATTTCAGAGCAGGTAGCAGATATCAGTGTACTTTTCCCATAAATACCTTGGCGTGTATACTGTTATCCAGAGTTCAGTTTTATTTGTGATTTTGCCTTTAGGTAAATTTACATACAGTGAAATGCACAGATCTTTTGGAGTTTTGACAGATGCATACACCTGTGTAGGCCAAACGCCAGTCAAGATCAGAACATTCCTTTCACCTAGAAATGTCTTTCATGCCCCTCACAGTCAACCCTGCTCCCACCTACGCACAGGCAACCATTGCTCTCTGAGTTTGTTTGTTTTTTTTTGTACCTGTGACAAGTTTAGCCTGTTTTGGAACTTTATGTAAATGCAGTCATACACTATGGATTCTTTTTATGTGAGACTTATTTTCTTAGGATTTTAAGATTCATACATGTTGTTATGTGTGTCTGTAGTTTTTTATTACCAAGTAGTATTTCCTTATAAGAATATACTCGAGTTTATTTATCCATTCTCCATTTGATAGACGCCTGGACTGTTTTCATTTTTTGGCTGTTATTGATAAAGCACAATGAACAATCTTTTACAGGCTTGTTTTAAGGACATTGCTGTGTCGTAGGGTAGGTGTCTGTTTAGTTTCAAAGGAAGCTGCCAGACTTTTTCCAGAGTGGTCGGATCATTTTACACTCCTACCAATAATGAATGAGAGTTCCAGGAAGGGTCACTTTTAACATAATTTTCCGTATAATGGAGTAATATTTTTTATGTTACTAAGATTTTGTATTAGAAGTGGTCATCAGTTGCAAAAAGCCATGAAATATATGGAACTTTTAATGTGTTATAATTTAGAAGAGCATAACCCATTATGTGGTTTGGCTGAGATTTTGGTACATATATCCTGTGTATTGTCCACATACGTCTTTTTTATTTTGCTGGCTTAACATTATCCATCTATATCCCTTTTCCAAACACTTTCTTATTTGACAGAACTTTTACGCATCCACATGCCAGTCTCTTTTGTTTTGTGTTAGTGGTTGTCTCAGTACTAACACTATCCACATTTTTTAGCCACCAGTCATATGTAAGAACTATATATGCTGTATATAGTTGTTGTTGTTGTTTAAGATTCTGTTTATTTATTTGACAGAGAGATAGCGAGAGCAGGAACAGAAGCAGGGGGAGTGGGAGAGGGAGCAGCAGGCTTCCCGCTGAGCAGGGAGCCCGACGCAGGGCTCGATCCCAGGACCCTGGGATCATGATCTGAGCCAAAGCCAGATGCTTAATGACTGAGCCACCCAGGCGCCCCTCTTTTTTTTTTTAAAGATTTTATTTATTTGAGAGAGAGAGATAGTGAGAGATAGAGCATGAGCAGGGGAGTCACACGGGGCTCGATCCCAGTACGCCGGGATCATGACCTGAGCCAAAGGCAGATGCTTACTGACTGAGCCACCCAGGCGCTGCTGTATATACTTTTATATACATAAAAAGTTATGTATCCGATATGTAGTAAGCATGTCTATATATATATGTGTATATATATATATATATGTATTATACTATTTTTAAATAAGGTCTTGGGGACTCAAGGACTACCTCATTCCTTTAAAAAAAAAAATCCATTGGTTTTAAAAACCAGTCTTTTTTGGGGCGCCTGGGTGGCTCAGTCGTTAAGCATCTGCCTTTGGCTCAGGTCATGATCCCAGGGTCCTGGGATCGAGTCCCATGTTGGGCTCCCTGCTCATCAGGGAGTCTGCTTCTCCCTCTCCCTCTGATGCTCCCCCTGCTTGTGTGTGCTCTCTGTCAAATAAATAAATAAAATCTTAAAAACAAAAATCAGTCTTTTTCTTTTCTTGATTGCAAACATGATACACTTACAAAAAATGCAAACATTACAGCAATGCATAAGATAAAATGTGGAAGACCCTAAAATTGCCCTTCACTGAGATAAACAATCACTGTGCTTATTCTTCCAACTTTTCTGTACAGAGTGCTTGCATGATCGGTGTTGGGTTCATAGACATGGGGCCATCGGCACCACTCTGCAGCACTCACCCGCGCTCTCTGGACTCTCTGTTTTACTTGGTAGTATGTCTTGGTGGCTTTCCCTGTGAGTACAGGTCTGCATTATCCTCTTTATGAGCCATATGATGATTTGCCATCATTTATTTAACTATTTCCATGTCAATGGACATTTTACTTGCTTTCAGTTTTTGGCCATTTGTAAACAGTGCTGCAGTGAACACTCTTCATGTCTTTGGTACACTTGTGAGTATGTTTCTCTAGGATAAATTTGTATAAGTTGCAGTACAGATTCAGGATGTGTAAACATCACATATTTTACAGATATTGCCAGATTGTCCTTCAAAGAAGTTGTAACAATTTATACTAATCACCAAGCCGTGAGAGTACTTCCTTTTTTAGCACCCTCATCTACACAGGTTATTAACTATCTTAATCTTTGCCATTCTAATGAACAATAACTATTTCATTGTTTGAATCTACTTTGTTAGATTATTTGTGAAGTCTGTTTTTTTTGTATTTAATTTTCTCTGACTTGCTTGTTTGTATCCTTTGCTGGTTTTCTTCTTGGCATGTTGGGGAAGGCTGCTTTTAAAATTCTTTTTCTTTCATGTGGTTATAATGAATCCTGTTTACCTTTGAATAAAAAGTATACTTAATATATCTGCAGGATATTGACAATGAAAAGAATGTCCTTTAGGTTTTACATCACATAAATTTTTTTTTATATAGGAACTTATAAACCTCGGGTTCGATGTTATGACACATATCAGTTATCCTTGAAGTTTGAAAGGTGTTTAGATTCAGAGGGTAAGTAAGAGATGAAATTTGAATTCATGAAAGTAGCTTTTTATATGTGGCTACTTTTCTGCTTTTTAAAAATGGGAATGTGTCATGTATAAGTTCTCTTTGCTGTGTAACAAATTACCATGAATGTGGCAGCTTAAAACATGCATTTATTAGCTGACAGCTTTGTAGGTGAATTCATCCAGGCTCTGCTGTTTTCTGTGCTCAGGGCTGACTCGCCTAGAGTTTATTGGGGGCTCTGGGCAAGAATCAGCTTCGAAGCTTTCTTTTCTTTCTTTCTTTTTTTTTTTTTAAAGATTTTATTTATTTAACAGAGAAACACAGCAAGAGAGGGAACACAAACAGGGGGAGTGGGAGAGGGAGAAGCAGGCTTCCCATGGAGCAGGGAGCCCGATGTGGGGCTCGATCCCAGAACCGTGGGATCATGACTTGAGCCGAAGGCAGGCACTTAATGACTGAGCCACCCAGGCGCCCCAGCTTCGAAGCTTTCTGGGTGTTGGCAGAATGCAGTTTGTTGTGCTTGTGGGACTGGGGTTCCTGTTTCCTGCTATCTGTCAGCCTGGGGCCACTCTCAGCTTCTGGAGGCTGCCTGCGCTTCTTGTCACCTGGTCTTCTCCATCTGTAAGCCAGCACCTACTCACTGGGTCTTTCTCCTGCTTCGAATCTCCCACTTCCCCTTCTGCCACCAGCAGGAGAAAACCCTGATTTTAAAGGGCTCACGTGATTATAGATCTCCCTTCCCCATCTAATGTGATGTAGTTATAGGTGTGTCCCACCAGCATTCATAGGCTCCGCCCACTCTGCAGGGAAGGGCGGGGAGGGTGGAGGTATTTCTGTCAGGTGCCTGGGTGTTTGGGCTTGAGAGAAAAGCAGTTAATGGCTAAGTCTTCTCCAACTGGTTTTACCCTTTCCTTTTTTTTTTTTTTTGCCAGAGAGAGAGAGAGAGAGAGAGAGAATGAGAGAGAGCACGAGAGGGAGGAGGGTCAGAGGGAGAAGCAGACTCCCTGCTGAGCAGGGAGCCCGATGTGGGACTCGATCCCAGGACTCCAGGACCATGACCTGAGCCGAAGGCAGTCGCTCAACCAACTGAGCCACCCAGGCGCCCTACCCTTTCCTTTTTAAAAGCAGGACAAACTCCACATGCTGCTAACAACTGTTTTCACTCTATGTTTAGCAGATGTATGATGAATGAGTAAAAAGCTACTGTTGTCTTTTTTATTTTTATTTATTTATTTTTTAAAAGATTTTATTTATTTATTTGACAGAGAGCACAAGTAGGCAGAGCGGCAGGCAGAGGGAGAGGGAGAAGCAGGCTCCCCACCGAGCAGGGAGCCCCATGTGGGGCTCGATCCCAAGAACCTGGGATCATGACCTGAGCTGAAGGCAGCCGCTTAACCGACTGAGCCACCCACTGTTGTCTTTTTTAAATAAATAATTAAAAAAAGAATTTTTGAATGTTCTTTAATGTCTATTTTATTTTGAGCTTCTCAGAAAAACTGGAGAGTTTAGAAGTCATTATGTTTTTGTTTTTGGTTTTTTTTTTTTAAATATTTTATTTATTTGAGAGAAAGAGAGAGCATGTGCAGGGGGAGGGGGAGAGGGAGAAGGAGGAACAGACCCCCCACTGAGCAGGGATCCTGACATGGGGGCTTGATCCCAGGACCCTGGGATCCTGACCGGAGCCGAAGGCAGAGGCTTAGCCGACTGAGCCACCCAGGCGCCCCAAAAGTCATTATGTTTTGTGAGTGTATCTAACTTTAGTTTTGCAGAAAATCTGGTTGATCTGTGTTGAGAAATTAAAAAGCTTTTAATTTTCCATTTGGTATTTTGGGGCCAATATAATTTGGCAACTTTATTCTTGTCTTATGAAAGGACAAGAAAGGGGGAAAAACCCAGTATTTGTTTGTAATTTTTGTGTTGAGTTAGAATCCTTTCATCAAGTTTGCATTTTTATGAAGAACATGGATTGATAATTGTAATTTTTCTTACTATTTCTTGTTTTTCAGTTGTCACCTTTGAAACTTTGTCTGATGACTATTCAAAGGTATGCTTGATAGCGTTGGTTGGTACTGGCTATTCTTACGAAGTCATGATAAGTATTTTTATGAGGTTCCCATTGTTACATTAAAAATGGCTGCATAGTAAAATAAAACCCATCATTTTCTATTAATACATTTTTAGTTTGACACATGTATGATACATAGAGTATCTTTTAAAACAACAGTGGTAGACTTTGGCCAGTCTAATATCAAAATGTTTTCTATATCACGTATGAAACCTTACCTGTATCGTCAAGAATTGGTAGCAGCCATCTTTTTTAGACCATGTTAGATTGTAGATTTGTGATTTTTAATTATTTCATTTAAACTAGTGTTATTTGCCATGTTGCTTTCATATGTGAAAAGTAAAATAGCATGATTATATGATTAATTTTCTTAACTCTGCAAATAGATGGTTCTGGAATGGTTCTGAAACAGTTCGAAACAGCTAAATATATATATATTTTTTCTTTTTTTGGTGCCATTAGTCCATCTTTCAACTCATGTCATTTTCAGTAGTTACAAAATTGTTAGTTAAGTGCCTTATTCAATTTAAAATAAATTTAAAAAATAAAAAATTTTACTGATTTTCTGAGCTGACATGGCTTTACATATTGTGTCAGTTCTGGAAACTATGGACTACAGTTTATTCTTTTGCCTGTAGTGGTCATTAATCATGTGTTGGGAGACATGTAGTTTTATAATGTATTTTCTCTAGATATTGATAAATTTGCTGCTAATTACTATCTGCAGATTTTTAAGCTACTTTTGAAATACATTAATGTTAAATTGGTATGGGGGTTTCTCAAACCCTGAGTGGTAATTGTGAGATGATTATTATTATCATTTTTAAAGGTTTTACTTACTTATTTGACAGAGACACAGCAAGAGAGGGAACACAAGCAGGGGGAGTGGGAGAGGGAGAAGCAGGCTTCCCGCCAAGCAGGGAGCTCTATGCGGGGCTCCATTCCAGGACCCTGGGATCATGACCTGAGCCGAAGGCAGAAGCTTAACGACTGAGCCACCCAGGCGCCCCAATTGTGAGATTATTAAAATGTGTTCTTAAGTAAAATAGGAAATCACTTGCTGGGGTTGCTGAGTAGAGGTCCACATTGTCAAATGCTGGTGCCAGATAAATAAAGGGCATTTGTTTTAAGTCTCTGTTAGAAGGCAAGAAAAACTATCTTGGGTTCAGGAAGGCATTAAGAAAGCAGGGGAGAGCTTTGATTCTTAGTCATGATAGAGAGTTGTGTGTGCACACATGCGTGTTTACAGAGAGAAAGAGGCTGGGAGAGATCAGAGTGTTCTTGCTTTGTCAGTTCTAGTGGTGATGAAGTAAACGCTTTTCCTAGAAACCTCAGCCAACTCATGCTCTTGTTTCATTTTCAGATTGTTTTCTTACATAATGATAGATACATCGAATTCCACTCACAATCGGGTTTTTACTACAAAACCAGAATACCAAAGTTCGGGAGAGATTTCTCCTACCACTATCCTTCCTGTGACTTGTACTTTGTTGGCGCAAGGTATTGGGTCTGATCCTTTGTTTTCTCCTTTTCACCCCACAAACGGCTTCTGTTGTTGAAATCAAGGAGAGGATTTTTTTTTTTTTAAAGATTTTATTTATTTCTTTGACAGAGAGAGACACAGCGAGAGAGGGAACACAAGCAGGGGGAGTGGGAGAGGGAGAAGCAGGCTTCCCGCTGAGCCGGGAGCCCGATGTGGGACTCGATCCCAGGACCCCGGGATCATGACCTGAGCCGAAGGCAGTCGCTTAACCAACTGAGCCACCCAGGCGCCCCAAGGAGAGGATTAAAAGGGGAATAAGACATGATCCCTGCCTTTCAGTTGCTCAAAGGGTATAGGTCCAGAGTAACTGCTCATTGAGGAGTTGCATCCTTGACTTTTACTAGCATGATGCTCTGAACCTAGCGACATGGGTACCTCACAGGGTCATATTGGTGGTGAAGGTGGTTTCTTAGCCCCATGGCATGACATTTGAAAACTTTTCATTTTTAAATCTACTTTCTATATGATGATAAAAATAATACAGACCCATTTTAGAAAATTAGGAAAATATTAAGAAGTATTCAAAAAAAAACACCCACTGTCATGCCACCCAGAGGAAACCCTTATGGTATTTTGTTGTATTTCCTTCTAGTCTTTTCTTCTGTATAGATCCATGTTGGATCTTGTATTCTCTGTGTTATTTGTAAATAATATTCCACCTAATAATTTCATAATATTTCCTTGGTTTAAATCACTTTTATACATGAACAAACTCACAAGGTGATTATTTTTTAGGTTGAAAATACATTTTGGTGTAAGTTTTACAAAGGAAGCCCTGGAAGCAAGAGATATATGTATATATTTCTAAAATGTATATTTAGTTGAAGCAAAGGTCACTGCAGTTTACCAGATTTCTAACTTTATTCATTACTTTGCAGCTCTGAAGTTTATAGATTAAACTTAGAACAAGGCCGGTACCTGAATCCGCTACAGACTGATGCTGCGTGAGTGTTCTGTTGTGGGAATACTGCTGTATTTCTCTTGGCCAGGAGATGGAGTCAGAAGCTCAAGTTATCAGATGGCAGGTTGTGTTTAAAAGCTTAGGGCAACTTAGTTCAAAGGAGTATCATTTAGTTTTTTCTTAAACGTAAAATTCACTAAAAGGCCTGGTGATTTCTTTAAAATTTTGATTTTTTTTTAATATCCTCAAAAATTTTATAACTCATTAAAAAGTTTTTTATTATTTTTTGCAGTGTTCTTTAAATTTTCATTTATGATTTTGTTCTGTGATATTATCTCTCAGAGAAATTTTGGATTAACTTGGAGTATCACTTTTTAAATATTACTTTTTGTGTTTTTGCTGGCAGACATTTAAGGTTTTTTTCAAGTTTTCCCCTTTTTTCCTCACATTATAGTCTACATTTTTGTTTTATTCAGAGAGAAAGCCTTTAGGAATAAATTTGTCATAATAATAATACTGAGTAATAATGACAATAATAATAGTGAAAGCACTTACTCTGTGCCAGTTGTTACTCAGTATTTTATACATATTAACTCATTTTAAACTTACAACAATTTTAGTATTATCATCTCCATTTTACAGATGGGACAGCTGAGGTGCAGAGAGGGTGAGTCCACAGTCACCCAGCTAGTAAGGGGTGGAAGCTAGGTTACTTCTCATCTAAGTGTATAAAGAGCTTGTTGGATTTTCCTTATTGCTTTGAAAGGGTTTTTAAAGGTTGGAAGAACATGTAGTGATAAAGGCCAGATTAACTCTCAGTAATTTTTTCCAGATATCCTTGAAATACTCTTAATTTTCTCCAAGAAAACTAGAGTAACTTCATGATATATTGTTGAATAATAAAGAGTTATCTGCTCTTTAGCTGCATACGTTCCTGTTTGTAATAGCTATTATTTATTGAGTGTCTTGTAAGCTCTGGATTCCATGCCGAACATTTTGTCATTTTTTCATTTAATCCTACAACAACTGAAAGAGGTAAAGTATCCATTTTACATAAAAGAAGGTGAAGCTTTGATTAGTACATCTAACTCAAGCTCGTCCGGTCTCAGGACTGGCTTAGTTATAGCTTGTGTTCTTTCTGCCCTAGGAGAAGATATATTGAGAAAGTAGAATAAACCTTTATTCTCAAGGTGGTAGGGTGGTATTTCAGAAGGAGTTCCTTTCTTGTCTCATCTCCTGGCAGATTGAGTATCATTCTGGGGATTCTTTCATGTCTGGTACCTTTCACACATGGATGAGTAAGGAAGCACCTGCCCGTCTTCTTTCTCCACAGGATTGGGTTGACTATTTAGAAAGTTCACCGAGTATCCCTCCCGCCTAAAATAGGTAATAATACTTTCTCCCTTACTGCTTTACTGTTTCAGGGAGAATAATGTGTGTGACATAAACTCAGTACATGGCTTGTTTGCCACAGGAACGGTAGAGGTAAGCATACGTTGCCTTTATTTTTTAACTTACTTGTTTTGCATTTGATAATGAGTAGAGTTTTACTTAAAGACAGAGTTGCTTGTTCCTAAGAGCAGAGAGCTAATGGAGCAACAAGCCACTGGTTGGCTTTTTGTAGGAACATTGGTTCACACACAGACAGGCCCGTTTGTTGCTGCAGACCGCCCCGTGGTGCGTCTGGTCCGGCACACTCTGACATGGATCATCTCTGACATTGATCCTTGGGAGCTAGAGGAGCGTCGCCAGCCTCTAGGGAGCAGTGGCAACACGACAGCCAGTTCTGTTCCTAACAGGAGGCACTCTGTCACGCAGTCCCAGCTCTCTGATACTTACCAGCTTTATGACTGAATTACTTTCCCTGAGGCTTAGTTTCCTCATCGGTGACATGGAGATAATGATAGCTTGCCAGCTTTGCGGAGGTGCAGGTGAGAGCCACACGGAGAAAGGCAAAGAGGATCGTGATCTGTACATCCTGTATGGTAGGATTCAAGAAATACACAACATTTCCCTTTTAAACTGCAGTATTTTCGAATCCGTGTTCTTCGTACTTGTCAAGAATTATCCTAGACTTGCATTTTTTTAATTATAATAAATACTCATAGTAAAAAAAAAAAAAAGTCAGAAATTTATTATTGAAAAAGTGTTCTCTTGTGCTTTCCAGTCACCAAATCCTACAACCTGGAGTTTGAACTCCTTAATGGTTTTTTTTAGGTCTTTGCAGATACACATATGTGTTAATCATATATTTTTTTAAAGTTTTTTAATAAAAGTAAAATTATACTTCTTCATTTGCTTTTTTAAATATGATATATAATATGCATCTTTATACATTGGTACTTATAATTACTTATAATGCTAAACTAATTTTTTAAAACTGATGGGTAGGATTCCATTGTGTGAATGTACTGTAGTTTATGAAACCAATCCCAGATGGATGAAATTTAGGTCTCTACTCAAATTATTTTTATGTTAAGAGGTTAGAATTTGAAGTGAGACAGAGTTGGTTTAATGAAAATATGTAAAACTGTTGAATATGTTATAATACTGTTGTGCCAAAATCGGGCCAATGAAGCATTTTCTTGGTAGGTACTTTTCTTGAGATTACCAAGGGGAAGTTTTAAAAACAGTTTCCTTGGAAAAAGTTTTTTAAGTAGAGTCCTTCCAGAGCAGTCTAATCCTCATAGACACGTGCTCTGTCAGAGCACTTATGTACCAGAGCAGGCTTTTCTCTCGCCAGCTGTTTGAAGACCATCCCTGAGGGGAGACTAGACCCCTTCTTGCCTAAAGGCTGAGGCTCCTAAAATTCCTGGATTACTGGGGGCTTGAAATTTGATAGGCAAAGTCAGACCAGACTTTAAAAATTCACTTTTACAATAATTTTGATAGTATATGTTTGATTTTGATTTTGTCTGTGACAATTCTTATACTACTTATTATTATTGTCAAAATCAAACAGGACTTAACCTTTTGTGCATTTTGTGCTTTTTGAAGTACAAAAAAGTGCAGGCTTTAGCAATAGAAATACTCAAATTTCAGTCACAGAAAATCATTATGGTTTAAAAAAAACATTTTTATTTATTCTGGAATTTATCTGCATACCTATTTTTTGTTTTTGAAATGTGACTTTTCTTTTTTATGTCCATAAAGTCTGTTAACTCATTTTGAGAAGACATGAAGACCAGACCATTTGGAATTACTTGCTGCTTGATTTCTAAGATTTCCTTTATTTATCTTTGTGACAGACACATTAGTAATAATACTAAATGAGTGATGAGATCAAGCCTTCTAAGTATATTTGAGGTCTTACTTTTAAGGTGGTTAATCTAGTAAACAATTTTTTAAAAATCTTTGTGTATATGTTTTTTTATCATTATAAAGTTGAGTAATACAAAAGAGTAAAAGTGAGAAGTGAGTCCCCTCTTGCCTATTCTTGTCCTGTTTCCTTACGTTTCCTGAACACTGGTAATAATTTGTTGTGTGCTCTCAGGGTTTTCTATGTTGGCAGAAACATTTTTTTTTTAAGGGACAATGGGATCATTTTTTTTTTTTTTTTAAACAAACTGCTTTTTACCTAGCAGATTGTGGGTATATTTCTAGTATATGTATATCTAAGTCATTCTTTTTAATGATTGCAGAGTATTCTTAAATGGATTATGCCAGTCTCTCCCGTGCTCTTTTGCTTGCGTTCTTTTTTTGTTTGTTTTTTTGCTTTATTTTCCTACAGCTTATTTTTAAAAAATTCTGAAAAGTTGTAAATGTCACTTTCTGAAAAGTTGAAAACACAGTTCACTCATCATTTTTATACATTTTGCACATTTGCTTTCTTTTTCTGTAAAAATATGTATATGTATATAGAAAATGTTTTTTGTACCATTTGAAAATCAGTTGCGGATGTTATGACATTTTAGCCCTCAATACTTCTGAATGTTTTTCTTAAAAACATTTTCTTAGAAACAAGGACTTTCTTGTATAAAATCATAATCCTGTTATCATCCATAAGAAATTTAACATTGATAATATTATGTATTAAATACTTAAAGTTGATATGGTAGTATTTAAATATTCTCAGGTCTACCAAAATGTCTTTCATAGCCTCCCGCTCCACCCCACCACCCAAACCAACGTCCAGTCAAGGATCAGACACTGCATTTTGGACTTCTTTTCTTAACCAGTTTTTTTCCTTTTAAAACAAATTCAGCTCATAGAAAAATATTTGACAGTACTTGAAAAGGGCATAGGGTAAAAAATTAAATTCTTATCCCCCACGAGATAATCAGTGTTACTAAGGTCTTTTCCGGTATTTGTCTAAAAATTTTCTAGCAGCAGCTATTCTATAAAATCACCGTATTCTGTTGGTCTAGGGCCGCGTGGAGTGCTGGGACCCGAGAACTCGCGGTAGAGTCGGCTTGCTGGACTGTGCGTTAAGCAGCGTCACGGCAGACTCAGAGTAAGTGGGGATCACATGCCATTTAAACATCCATCTGCTTATGAGTCAAACACATGTACCAATACTGGATTCAGATCAATTGCTGAAGGATGAAACCCCTCAGACTTCTATCTGAGGTTGTCGTTTTGTCATTTATGTAAAAAACCTTTTCTGGGAAAGGTCGCTAGGTGGGAAAGCCAGACAGAATGCCTTTCTGAGGTGCTACATAGAATGTCTTTTTGTTGGTTGCTGTGGAATGTTATTAAAACAGATACGCTGCCGGAATTCATAGTTCCAGTTCTGTAGGATCTAGTGCTAGAACCAGGAGTCCACCACTCCAGGTAACAAGCCAAAAGGTGTATTTTGAATTCCAAGGTGGAGGGAGGCAAGTGTTTTCTGATACCTTCTTGTTCCCGTTTGCCACTTCCTACATTTAAAACAATCAGAAGAGTAATATACACTCAGGCGATGAAAACCTCTACATGCCTGCATTAGGTGAGTATAGGCCCCCTGTCCTTTCTCCACTCACCGGAGTGGTTAGTGTTGCGCCGTTTGGTACATAGGTTTTCAGACATTTTTCTGTGCTCATATTAATATATATGCAGTCTTATACTCTCTTGGTCAGATTCTTTACATGGGATTATTTGCTGTAACCAGTTCAGAAACATCCTTTCTCTGAGCTCTTGATATTTGTAGTAATGTGATTTTACTAGCATTTACTCATTTCCATTGGCCAGACGTTTACCCATAGTTGTATCATGTTGGAGGTGGAGTGTTTGATGGGGGGGCTGCAGAGAGGATGTGAACCCTCTAAATTATTGCCGATTTTTGTGTGATTTGCATTTTTCTGGGGGAGATAAGAATTTATGTAGTTCGTTCTTTTGAAAAACCAGCTTACGTAAAGCACCCTTGACTTAGAGAAAAGTTAAGAATTGCTGAATTGGAAGAACGTTTTTTCTAATGTATACATTTTTCCCTGTGTGATAAGTAAAGAATAAGTTAATTTTTTTTCATCTTTTAATTATGACATTTAATGGGAGCGTAGGAGGTGCGGGGATGGACATTGAGGAGGGCACGTGATGTGACGAGCAGTGGGTGTTGTATACAACTGATGAATCATTGAATTCTACCTCTGAAACTAATAAAACACTATATGTTAATCTAATGTAAATAAAATTAAATAAAATTAAAAAAATTAAAAAATAGAAGTGTAGGAAATTTTTTCTCTATTATTGAGTTTTACGAAAGTAACAACAATGAACAACCTCATTAATCATGGTATGGAGTAAATAATTTTATTTTATTTTATTTATTTTTTTAATTAATTTATTTTTTTAAAGATTTTATTTATTTATTTGAGAGAGAATGAGATAGAGAGAGAGAGCACGAGAGGGGGGAGGGTCAGAGAGAGAGGCAGACTCCCCGATGAGCAGGGAGCCCAACGCGGGACTCGATCCCGGGACTCCAGGATCATGACCTGAGCCGAAGGCAGTCGCTTAACCAACTGAGCCACCCAGGCGCCCTGGAGTAAACAATTTTAAAGTGGAAAAGTTACTCTACATTCATTTTGTTTTGTTCTTAGAATTAGACATTTTTATTGTGAATTATAATACACAGACAAAATCTCAAAGCATTAATGTACAGATTACTGAATTACTGTGAAGCTCTGCATTTGTCAATAGAAGAAACCAGGAGAAAATGCTTGTCAACATTTTATTACATTGATATGAAAGGAACCGAATCAGAGAAGTCTGCTTGTTTTTCGAAAGTAGGAAATCAGTTGTAAGTGGAAGCTATTTTCCCACTCCCTAGGAAGCAGAAAAGTTAATTTTCTCTTACTTATAAATGTTAACTTGTTTTTGAATTAAAATAGAGACACTTGGGTTCTGCTACAAGCTCTGTCCTTAACAGTTTCTTCTTAGAGAAGTCATTTGAGAAAACAGGCCAGCAGGAGTTCTTTGTATTATGTCTTAACGGTTATTTTTACTGTAAATTTAATGACTGTAATAGAAGTAACACTATAGAAAATTTAAGGAAGGGATGTGAAAAGATAATCTTTACTGTGATCTTTAGAAATATGGGAGTATTCTGGGTTTTTTTTTTTCTTTACATAGAAGAGTGATTCACAGATTTTTTAGTTTTATTGATTAATTTGACAGAGAGAGAGAGAGAGAGAGCACAAGCAGGGGGAGGGGTAGAGGGAGAGGGAGAAGCAGACTCCCCGCTGAGCAGGGAGCCCCATGCAGGACTAGATCCCAGGACCCCAGGATCATGACTTGAGCCGAAGGCAGACACTTAACTGACTGAGCCACCCAGTCGCCCCTATTTTGTTTATTTTAAAAAATAATTTTATTTTGTAAAGCTGATTTATACTGAGTGTAAAAAGATACTAAGCAGTTTCAAAAATACAAGAAAGTAAAATGGCTTCGGCACACACACAGGCAGGTGTAATTCAAGTAACCAGACCACTCTTGGTTGGTGAAGGGTGTTTATAGATTTTCACTGTTGTGCATCCACTTGTAGTTAGTTCTAAGACTATTTCCTGAGGGAACATACTGAGAACCTGGATTTCTGGGTGAAATAGCTTTTGTACCCATTGCTAAAATGCCTGGCAGAAAAGGTAACATCAGTTTGAGGATCTCCCTGCCTGTACAGAGTGCCTGTTCTCCCACCCTCCGTCGCCCAAGGTGTCCATCCCATTCTGATAATACTGCAAAGTCAGAAATAGCCCGAGAATACTGATTAAATACAGCTTGGTAAAAATCGTAGCTAACAGACAGTGCTTTCTGTTTGCCAGCTAGTGTCCTTAGTTCTTTACATTTACTACCTTCATACTCATGGCAGCCTTTGATGCAGGTACTCTTATTTATTTTACAGAAGAGGAAAATACTGATCAGTGGCATATGTAAGCTTTTAAGACTTATGTTGCAAAAGTACATTTATTTCTGGGGGAAGATGTTGCAAATATACCGTTAAGTGGGAAAGCAGTGAACATGCTGTAGAGTCGTGGGGGAAAAAATCTGGATGTGTACCAAAATGGTACAGGTAGTTTTGCTTGCTGTTTCTGTTTCAGGTGATTTTATTTGTTGATTTTTATATGCTTAGCTTCATTATTTTCTACGCAAGCACTGTAAGCTATCACCTCTGTTATTTGACAGAGGTGGAGTTCTGGAAGGTGGAGCCAATATAATAAAGAGAAAGAAGTGAATGTAATTATCAGATGGGGGGGACAGGCTGTCTTTATTTGCAGACGATAACGATTGTCTGCCTGAGAAACTCAGAATCCACTGGAAGATCATAAGAACTAATATGAGAGTTAAATAAGTTGGTGATGAAATAAATGTGCAAAATCAGTGGCTTTGAGGTTTAGCAGCAAAATCCAGTTAGGCACAATGGAAAACCATTCTTACAGCAACAAAAATTGTGAAATTCTGAGGGATAAACTTAATACCTACCTGAAGGAAATGACTGTTAAGGATCAAAAAGTTCGAGTAAGTAGGTGGCACCTGGGTGGCTCAGTCGTTGAATGTCTGCCTTCGGCTCAGGTCATAATCCCAGGGTCCTGGGATCGAGCCCCACATCGGGCTCCCTGCTGCGTGGGAAGCCTGCTTCTCCCTCTCCCACTCGCCCTGCTTGTGTTCCCTCTCTCGCTGTGTCTCTCCCTCTGTCAAATAAATAAACAAAATCTTTAAAAAAAAAAAAAAAAGTTCGAGTAAGTAAAGAGAACTAACATCCCACTGCACTGACACATGCTCTTAGAGTTCATTTTGAGGAGTAAAGGACTAAAAGGATGGGCATGAGAGGCCTCTGGGTTCCAAACTGGTGCGTCCGTGTGGTTATGGCTTGAGGCTTTAGGGGGCCTGAGAGCCTTGAGGGTGCCAACAGGTCACGGCCTAGATGGTGGGGCCTGGTCCCGAGGACCGGGAGACAGGAGGGACTGAAGTCAGCACTGTTGTCCTCCTCTGACTTGTCTGGTACCCTTTCCACCAGGGAGCATCGCTTGTGGTGCCGATCCTCTTCTTGGTTGCTGAGTGAGAAGCGTGTTCCAGATCTGTGGCCATAACCATTCATCATACTGTCTCTGTACTTTCCTAGGTTCTAGTCTCCATCTGAGGATTAGTCTTCTATTTTAGCTTGACATAGGCAGCTTTAAAAATGGAAATGGGCATAACCTGCCCAAATATAAACTCATTTCCTCTTAAGCAAAAGGGGATATTTTTGTAAATACCATACCTTGGCTTAATCAAAGTGAAAGATCGTGTCATACTGATCCTTTTCAGTTGGTTTTAGAGTTTTATAAACTTTTTTTTTTTAAAGATTTTATTTATTTATTTGAAAGAGAGAGAATGAGAGAGAGCACATGAGAGGGGGGAGGGTCAGAGGGAGAAGCAGACTCCCTGCCGAGCAGGGAGCCCGATGCAGGACTCGATCCAGGGACTCCAGGATCATGACTTGAGCAGAAGGCAGCCGCTTAACCAACTGAGCCACCCAGGCGCCCTATAAACTTTTTTTTTGTAGATACTTTGAGAGTATTTCTTACAGTTTTGAAGAAGATAATCTACAAACTTTTAAAAGCAGATTACATTTACATATAAAGCTTTTTATTTTGATTAAGAAAGTTTAGATACAAATACCTTTTATTTTTTATTTTTTTTAAAGATTTTATTTATTAGAGAGAGAGAGAGCATGTGCACAGCAGGGGCAACAGCAGAGGGAGAGGGAGAAGCAGACTTCCCACTGAGCAGGGAGCCTGATGTGAGACTCGATCCCAGGACCCTGGGGCCATGACCTGAGCCAAAGGCAGATACTTAACCAAATCAGCCACCAGGTACCCCTACAATTGCCTTTTAAACATAAGGCCAGATGTATGATTTTCCCCACTACAATTGAAGATTAATAATGAATTTTTACTTGGAAGGTTTGGCCATGTGTACATGGAACGTGAATGTTTTGCCTTTCAGGATAAACAGTTTACCAACAATCTCTGCTTTGAAATTTAATGGTGCCTTGACCATGGCAGTTGGAACATCCACAGGGCAGGTGAGTATCTCAGAGGCATGTATATATTGTGGGAAACATCCACATATCTGTTCACAGTGGGAACAGAAAATGGAGCATTGTTGTTTTGGCCAGAGTGGAGGGGTACTCTGGAATGCTGTATTCTTTTAGTACCTTGAGAAATTCTGATTCTGGCCATCTGGGTTAGTCTGAGAGGTTCTTGAGCTGGGGGTGTTATGCCTCAGGCATTCTCTTGGCTGTGGTTTAGAACAACATTTTCCAGAGTATGTGGAACAGAATTCTGTGGTCAGCTAAGTTTGGAAATCTGCCAGATTTCTACTCTTGGAGGATCACAGTGCTTTTAAATATATATTGAAGGCTCTGAGAATTCCTCTAGACAAGAAATGTATTTAAAAAGTATTTCCAAAATTTATTTGTCCTAGAAACCTTTTTTTTTTTTACTGAGCATCATTGACCACATGCGCAGTAGCATACGTTAGCAATGCTAGTCTGACAAGGATGGATTGAGTAGCTACAGAGGGTTACTTTCAACTCTTCTTTCTTCCCTTCTTTCCTTCAAGGCAGAATGCACACACTTGTAAGTTTGTTCTCCTCTAGAACAGGTCTGAGCGCCTACTTCCAGTGGAGTTTCTACTTCTGTCATTGTGGTCTGCAGAGGATCTTTTAGCAGGGACTGAGATCTAGCTTCTCCAGCCACTTGCCCCTAGTGACAGGGCTCAGAAGAAGCCCCCACTGCCCCCCACCCAACAGTCATGACCTTGCCACCACTCTCTGCTCAGATCTGCCAGATTCTCTTCATTACGCCTGTTATTCTTATTTCTGTCAGTTGCTCTGACAGTGCCTGGTACATAGTAGATCCTCAGTATGTATATTTGTTTTAGTTCACAAATGACACCCACTCTTACAGATTTTTCTTTTGGTTCCTTTCTTAGTGTAGCTCAGTCATTCTCAATCTTAGTGTGCCTAAAAATTACTCTCCGGTTAAGTTCATAAAACCATGTACTCTAAGGGTAATTTAAGAGATTTTTCTAGAGTGTTTTGCTGTCAGACTTTAGAATCTTTGTGCCCTGAGTAAGGTGTTCCTTATGCTCACAAAAAGGCAGTAAAACAAATGGCAGCCATTATTCTAAGTTTTCAAAGTTGCTTTTTAAGATAAAGTAATTTGTTTAAACAGAAATAATTTGTTTTCTTTCTTTTAGGTTTTATTATATGACCTTCGATCGGATAAACCATTGCTGGTTAAGGATCACCAGTATGGGCTGCCCATTAAGTCAGTCCATTTCCAGGATTCACTAGATTTGATTTTGTCTGCAGACTCGCGCATCATCAAAATGTGGAATAAGAACTCAGTATGTACTTTTTTGTTGCAGTTACTTATTAGTGTATTTTCCTAATGTTCCTTTTCTTTCTGTTGCCTTGTTTGAGTTATGTGGGCTTTTGAGAAAGAGTGGCCTAGTACCTATCTGAGAGCTTAGTTGGAAGTCATTTACTTCAGCAAAGGTAATATTCGTATGTAGATAAATAGTCAAGACTGCTTTCTTCCTGTGGAGAAGGTGGCCTGGTTTGCTAGAACTGGCATGCCTTTTTACATGTTCAGTTAGGAGGAGAGTAAACCACGTTTTAAAAACATTGCTCCGTGAGAACCTCCTAGATCCTGAGGCTCTCTCACAGCCTGGGGAAAGTTTTTATGAGCTACTAATTATCTTTCTATGTCAATGTTATTATGTATCTCGATTTCATACCTTTTAAAACCCATCTCAAATAATTTGGCTTCTAGGTATGACCCCTTTCAATAACTTCTTAGTGTTTTTCTTTTTTAAAAATTTTTTAAAAGATTTTTATTTATTTATTTGTCAGAGAAAGAGAGGGAGAGAGAGCACAAGCAGGGGGAGCAGCAGACTCCCCGCCGAGCAGGGAGCCCAACGTGGGACTTGATCCCAGGACTCTGGGATCATGACCTGAGCCGAAGGCAGACGTTTAACAACTGAGCCATCCAGGCATCCCTCTTAGTGTTTTTCTTAAAAACATTATTTTCTTAAGAATATTTGATGTGGGGCACTTGGGTGGCTCAGTCAGTTAAATGTGTGACTCTTGATTTCAGCTCAGGTCATGATCTCAAGGGTCGTGAGATTGAGCCCCGCATCGGGCTCCATGCTCATCAGGGCATCTGCTTTTCTCTCTCTCTCTCTCTCTCTCTCTCTCCCCCTCTGCCCCTCCCTCCCCTGCTCGTGTGTGCTCTCTTTCTCGCTCTCAAAAAAAAGAATATTTGATGTTCTTTCCCCTCAATTCCAAGTGTCATTTAAGAAGTAACAAAAGCCTGCATTTCTGGTTTTCATCTACCCTACGCTATTCATATTTTGTTTTAAAACTCTAAGGTATTTTGAGAGAGTGAAGATCATTTTGTCAACAAAATGGGAAAAACTCAGTATAGCAAGTGCTTTTTTTTTTTTTTAAGACTTTATGTAGAGAGAGAGAGAGTGCAAGTGGGGTGAGGGGCAGAGGGAGAGGGAGAGAGAAGCTGAAGCAGACTCCCTGTCGAGCGTGGAGCCCGACGCGGGGCTCGATCTCACAACCCTGAGATCATGACCTGAGCTGAAATCAAGAGTCAGACGCTTTAACTGACTGAGCCACCCAGGTGCCCCATACAGTAAATGCTTATAAGAGTTCTTTGTATTTAATTAATTACAAACGTCAGTGTCTTAGGTAGAAAGTGTTACTTCCTTTTTTTTTTTTTTTTAATTCATTTTGGAGGTGAGGTAGGGGGAAGGTCCAGCGGCCTGAGCGGTAGTTGCTGGGGAGCGAGCGTCAGTCTTTCCCGGGCCGTGTGTGCTCGGCACGGAGGTGCTGCCGCAGCCCCGTCACACTGGGCTATGTCCCAGAGTCCCTGGCTGCTTGGACCGTACCTTGTGTTTTTAATTTTCTTTTGGGTAACTCCCAGAGTACTGGCCTTTCATTGTTGTGTCTTGGATTAGAATTTGGCTGCAGCTTTTCGCTGAGCGTGCGGTAAGCGCCTTCCCCAGGCCCTGACTCTAGCCCACTGCTTCGCCACGTGCCACGCGCCCCTCTGATGGTGCGTTAATAAAGGCAGGAGCTGACCGGCTTTGTCAGCATCCGTTCTTGAAATTACGTTGCTGTAGTTGCTGCAGTGCGTTTTATTTTGGTGTTGTTGCTATAACTATATACGCCCTCAACCAACACCCAGATTGCTTGCTTTTGCTTGACTTGCTCTCCGTATTTACCTTTCTCATCACCTTTTCCCCTCCCGTCTTCTCTTCTGCCTGTTTTTTTTACTGTCCACTTTTTTAAAACACAGCACCTCTCTCCCCTACCTCCACATTGAATATAAAAGTGTCAGCCTTTCCTGTGTAACTAGCAAGTTGTGTGTTTACAGGATTTTGTTTTCTGAGTTATTTTCTACCCATGCTGTCCCTCGACCTTCCTCAGAGCTTTGTGATCTAGATGTGGCAGATCTCATCCTCATCTGACCCTGTTAACCATCTCCCATTCTCTGCTTTCTTTGAGTACAAGTTTAACCGGGCTGTGTCTTCCAGATTAGGAGAATTTTTCTAAGTTGATGTACAACTGTATCTTAAGCTTTACCCATTGCTGCTCTGGGAACATTATCTATGAAACTATGTATTTCCTTGGATAAGTCCCCTTTCCCCCATAGGCCCGTTTCTCCATCTCTGAAGGGAAAGCATTTGATAAATTGATAAAAGGAATTCTGTACCATTTTTGAAACTTAAATTCTGTGCTTTGAACTAGGTGATGTTATTTCTTGACATAGCAGTATATGGTTATATGGTTATGTCAGATCTCTGGTTTATTTTTTTTACTCAACATTGCTAAAAGTTGTCTTCCTTCAACTATTTTAATAATTCCTTTTTGCTTTTTCTTTTAGGGAAAAATATTTACTTCCTTGGAGCCAGAACATGACATTAACGATGTCTGCCTCTATCCCAACTCAGGTATGCAGTAGGTAGCGGTAGGCCATTCAGTGGGAGAAATCTAGGCTGTGCTTTATGGGGTTTTAAACTCATTTCATTTCTTCAGACGAGGTTTGGCTTGGTCAGGACAATTCTTGGATATTATATTTACTGGAAGAATCAAGTGCAGGAAGTGGTATGGATGATTCAGAAAATGGCAGTCTCAGTGACTCAGTCCTTAGCCAGCCTAGCTATTAGTAGAAACCAACAATACATAGGCAGGTGGCAGGTGAGATGCTATTTTAGTGTGCTCTTCACTCTTTTTATGTGATTAGTAATAGTGTGTGGAAATTGAGGTCAAGGATTTGGAGAAGGCTGGGATTGCCTGATATCCACAAGGCTCATGAAGCCATGGGTTTTGGTGTCTTCTATGTTGTATGCTATTCCGCTTGCATCATTTATTTCAAGACTTACGATACCTTCAAGACAAATCTGTGAAGAATTTTGGGGTACAAAAGTACAGAACAGTCCCCGCTGTCAAGCAGTGTTATATTCTGAGGATAGATGTACACAGATAATTTTAATAGAGGGATACAAGGCAAAGCAGGAAAAATTCTGTTATGTACAAACAGCACTTTGACAGCATGTTAGAGCGAGGGGTTTCAGCCAGCGCCACTGGGGAGATCGCAGAGGAGATGTTTGTCTGCATGTGTTTGGAGTGATGAGTGAGATTTGGTAGGTGGGGTGGGGAGATGAGATGATCCACGTGAGGGAGCAGTGTAGGAAGGGCAAGAAGGATAGGGTACAATAGGTACCATAGGGTACCATTCATGGGGCTTGTTTGGGAAAGGGGTGGAGCCTTATGTGCTCTGATGAGCCCTGGTGGCTCTTGCACGAACAAAGGCGGCAGAGGTCCGGGAATCACATGCTGAATGGTTTGGGCTCAGTCTGTAGTCAGGAGCTGTTCAGACTGCTTTCAGAAGACAGTTCTGTCCATCATGTAAAGAGTAGATTGGTGTGGAACTGAAATGAGTAGGAAGGGATACTCTGAGCCAATTGGGAACACAAGAGACTGAGCAAATTTAGAGAGAGAGAGAGAGATTGTTTTCTTGTTTAAACATTCGAACAGCAGGAGGGCTGTAGGTCAGTGACAGTGTCTAGCAGAGGGTCTCACACCTGACTGCTCATCGGTATCATCCAGGGAGGCTTTTTACAGATCCCTTGGCCGGATCCCCGATCCGGCTGACTAGAGTGTCTGCGGGGAGGGCCCAGAAGTGTGTGTGTGTGTGTGTGTGTGATGTGCTTGCCAAGTGCTCGGGAGGCCCTGCCCCGACCCACCGCCTTGCAGTGGGAGCCAGGTCTAGTGCATGGGACGAAGTGTGGTCTCGAGAGAAGCAGGTCTGCACTTACAGCGTTTGCAGACGTGTAAGCTGAGGTGGTTTCGGGAGAAGTGGGAGCGTGTGAGATCACCATGGGGAAGTGTGGAGAGCAGCACCTGAGTCCATTTAGAGGGGGAATGAGAAGCAAGAGCCAGCTGAGAAACCTAACAGGAACGGACAGGACACCAGTAAGGGAAGTGACAGTGTTTGAAGTAGGGCAGAAGCTACGGTGCGAGCGGGCGGGCGGGCGGGCGCTGCTCAGCGCGTGTGAGGGCCGCCGAGGTTGAGGCAGGAAGGAAGGAAGAAGTTCCTGTGCTCCTGTGCTGCTGGGCACGGTGATAACCACGTATCATTCGTCTTTCCAGAGCCCTGGGTAGTTAGTGGTGCACACGGGTTTTTCTTTCTTGTCTGTCTGCCAGTCTCTTCCATCTTAGGAAGGGGGGACCAGTTGGGTAATTGGGCTGGAGTTGGTCGCCCAGTGGGTGTGTGGCCGGGCCTCGGCTAGAGCCAGCCTTTCCTGGTTCTGGAGCCCTTGCCCTTTCTAGTTCCGTGCTGCTCTCCCAAGAAAGATGGGAAACTGCATTTTTGTGATCAGCTGTGTATCTGTGATCATTAAGAGGATTTCACGGCAGTAGCAGGGGTGAAGTCAAACTCTGACGGTTTCAGGAATAAACTGCAGATGAGGATGGTGGGGTCCCAGTTAGAGAGTCTTAGACGGTCTGAAATGGGGTCTGAGCTGCATGCGAAGGTGAGTAAAACCAGGTGGGATTGAAGTCGAAACAAGGGTGGTGAGCAGGTTTCGCTGGATTGAAGGGGAGAGTTTGAAGGGGCAGCTGGTGCTGAGAGCAGGAAGCCTTGTGGCTGCTTGTGGCCCCTGAGAACTGGCAGTGCACCTCATCTGGGCTGAGATGTGCTCTATATGTAGGATACCAGATTTCAAAGACATTGTACTGGTTGAAAAATAATGTGAAATAGGGGCGCCTGGGTGGCTCCATCAGTTAAGCCTCTGACTCTTGATTTCAGCTCAGGTCCTGATCTCAGGGTCGTGAGATCGAGCCCTGCATCTGGCTCCATGCTGGGCGTGGAGCCTGCTTAGGATTTTCTCTCTGCCTTTCCTTCTGTCCCTCCCTGGCCCTCCCCCTACTCGCGTGCATGTGCCTGTACACATGTGGGCTTGCTCTCTTTCTTAAAAAAAAAAAAAAAAAGTGAAATAGATCTTTAATTTTTTTATGTGAAAATATTTCAGACATACTGGGTTAATAAGATATATTAAAATTCATTTTACCTGTTTAAAAAAAATTTTTTTTAGGGCGCCTGGGTGGCTCAGTTGGTTAAGCGACTGCCTTCGGCTCAGGTCATGATCCTGGAGTCCCGGGATCGAGTCCCGCATCAGGCTCCCTGCTCAGCGGGGGGTCTGCTTCTCCCTCTGATGCTCCCCGCTTTCATGCTCTATCTCATTCTCTCTCAAATGAATAAATAAAATCTTTAAAAAAAAAAAATTTTTTTTTAAATGTGTCTACTAGAAAACATGAAATCCCACGTGTGCCTTGCATAGTATTCCTGTCGCACGGTGCCGGCCCAGACTTGGGGATCTTGCCCAGTGTAGGATGCTGCTGAGCTGCAAGATATTGAAGTTGGCTGCGGGCATGCCGCGTCCGTCTTGTTGGAGCAGGGACGTTCCTCTAGGAGTCCGCATACCGCCAGCCCACCTAATAACTCTAGTTCCTTAGTAGACATCCAGTCCATTCTCGCATTCCCCATTGTCCCCCAGATGGCTTTCATAGCCTGTTGTTTGGAACCAGGCTGTATTCAGGACTGTGTGTTACTTCGAGGTGTGGCCATGTTTAGTTTCTTTTAATTGTAACAGCTGTGTCCCCGACACCCGTCTTTTTTTTTTTTTTTTTTTTGGCCTTCTTCATGACATGGACTTTTCCAGGATCAGGTCGGTAGTCTCAGAGAATGTCCCTCACCCTGGATTTGTGTGGCTGGTTTTCATAATCCTTGGGTTAGGGAGATCACGAGGTCTTTTCATTCCAAAGTACACTTTTCTGAGAGGTAAAAATGTTAAGAGTGATGTTTTGGACAGAAGAGCGAGTTGACTGTCATATAACTTACAAGAAGTGAATCAAACACAAAAAATAGCCAAATAATTTATTTCCTGAGCTGGCAGGCACAGTAGGACAGGTAGCCCGGCTGCCGCCTTGGGGTTTGGATGTGAGCAGGCTTGATTCACGCACTTCGCTACTTTCCGTCGCTCTGCTCCTTTCCCTTTAACGCTGCTCTTGCTGCTTTGTGCTTAATCATCGTGAGCTTAATCATATTTTAGAAAAGCTAACACTTTCTTCTGTCTTTATCTTCTCACTTACTCATTTTGAAGTAATTAAAGCTGAATCACGATTACTGTTTTGTCCTGTTTCTCTAATACGGAGGTGGCTCAGAATATTGAGAAATGGTGCCGCTTTCCCTGCTCCTTCCTCCGTCCTGCTTGTGTTGCTCATTCCGCCTGGCTCCAGCGTCTCCGCTTTCTGCCCAGAAAGCCCAGATGGAGGCCGAGTGGTCCTGTCATGTACCCGTGTGGGCCTCAGCTGCCATCCAGCCTCCGGAGACTGCCTGCACTGGGAGGGGGAAGGCCACACGCTCCACGCCGACATGGGGGGGGTCCTCCTCTCGGGCGCGGTCCTGAACGCACAGGCTGTCTGCCCCGCACTGTTCACGGCCGTGACCGCTGCTGGCGTCTGGTGCGCGCATGTCTGAAGGACTGAGATCTTGTCTTTCCTTCATGTTGGAGTTTCCAACCCGTGGCAGCCCGATACTTTCCTAAACGTAATAAAAATGAATTACGAGGAAAAGACAATGTCACAAGGCTACACGGGTTTCTAAATTCTTCCCTTCTGTTCCTACGCTTCCCGCCGGGCTGGGGCCCAGTTTGCACACCGGCCCTGGGAGTGGACTCAGTAGCACTGGCAGAGAGCACCGTTTCGGATTTTGAACTCTGAGCCTCAGTGGATCCTTTAGCCCCTGCAGCACATGCAGGTGAGAATCGATGTGTGCACGCTTCCTGGGAGGGCCCTGCTATCCCATCCGATTCTCTGTGGCTGTCCCGTGAGGCCACACAGCACAATGGGTAGCACTCGCAACGGCGGATATCAGACTCAAGGTGGCGGGTTCTTCTGACTCTAGGCACTTTCAAAATTGGTAGTGTCATTGTTGAAATATAATAAGTAGGGCGCCTGGGTGGCTCAGTCGGTTAAGCGTCTGCCTTCGGATCGGGTCATGATCCCGGGGTCCTGGGATCGAGCCCTGCATCAGGCTCCCTGCTCAGCCGGGAGCTTGCTTCTCCCTCTCCCACTCCCCCTGCTTGTGCGCCTCTCCCCTCCCACCCCCCTGTCAAATAAATAAATCTTAAAAAAAAAAAAAGAAACTATAATAAGCATCACTATGAAGGAAACTGGGGAGGAAAAACCATTCATAATTCCACCATCTCTTCCCAAGTACTGTTACTGTTTCCACAAGAGAATTCTTGTATTCATCTTGTGTTCATATGTTTTTAGTCGTGGTCCTCATGCTACATGTACAGTTGTCTTTTGCTTTCCAGTTGACATTATATTAACATTTTTCTTCTTGTTGTATGGTGTTTATACTTGTACTTCTGAAATTTTTTATTATTTGCAAGAAGCCTTTTCATTTTTTCTTAGTTGTGATTGTGGTTGGAGAGTCCTGCGTTCCACGGGCTTTGGAATCGGTGGAATATCAGCTTCTCTCCTTCTTAGCTGTGTGGTGACCTTGAGCAAATCATCTAACTTTCTGAGGCCACACTGTTATCTGAAAGTAAAGTTCCTGGCACAGTGCCTCACACTCTTCTCCTCTCTTGCCTGTGATCATCTTAACTTCTGCTGAACTAACTTTTACTGATTTAATGGATTTAATTTTTTTCGGCTTTTTGTTCTTGGGCTTTGTGAGGTTGCCTGTTTTTCTTTCTCATTCATAATTGGTTTCAGTCCTGACCTTCCCCACTTTAGTTCGGTAGGAGGTCAGCTTGTGTCATTGTTTATATATGGTCAAGTGAGATCCTATTCCGTTGTGAAAACAGCCTGCTTTGTCTAGTCTGGGTTCTTTGGGGGTAATTAGATGAGAGGCTTCTCTCTGGTTTGTTGGGTTGGTGTGATTGCGTTTCCTTGCGGAATGTCATTGTTGAATGATCCGTGTTCAGAGTCGAGCCAGTGAAGCCAGGCTTAGAGAATATCTTTGGCAAGAACCTTTTTTTGGTTGTAATCTGTCTCCTCAGTCCCCACAACGACCTCTTTCATCGTGTCTAAAGAGTGTAGGAGAAGGTTTGCCTCTAAAATCCTCTAGCTTGTGACAGGGCACTCGGTCCCTTTGAACTTTTTTTTTTATCTGTAAAATGAGGATGTTGTTATTTCTTATTTCAGAGACTTGTTGCATGTTCACCAAGGTAATATCTGTGAAGGCGCTTAGTAAGTTGTAAAGAACTCCCCAGACGGTTGCTGATTTCAGTTGTATGGAAAGTGCGTCATTCTGGAACAGGGGCTGGGAAGACTGGCGCTGCTTCGGGAGGCTTGTGGGGAGGAGAAGGTTGCAGATGCGGCAGAGAGCAGAGAACAAAACTGGAACAGAATCATGGGGTCACTGGGTGCTGTTTGTCCTGTGGTTATGGGGATGCCTTCACCGAATGCCAGGAACTTTCCCCATACTTCAGTTCTGCTTTCCTAAAATGCGGATCTGTTTGTTGAGTCTGTTCAAATCCCCTTGCTAGTGAATTAGTTGGGTAGAGTAAGGGCTGTTAGATGCTGTATGGGTCTTGCCTGGTGTAGCTACAGCGATAGCGGTCCCCTTAAGTCCGTCGTTTTGTTTGCAATTCAGGTGTGAAGCTTAATGCAAACCTTAGGAACTACTTTGCTGTGACATTTTGTGGGAGTTGCTTTGCCTTGGTTCTTTGATTCCTGATTAACAGAAAGAAGCCTTTTTTTCTTAACTTCTTCATTATTATCATTATTATTATTATTATAAATATTGCACCCGAACTACGTTTTATGTGTCTGAAGTGTCAGACTCTCCCCCTTAAGGATAATCGCAAACTTGATGTAGACCTGAGCACATAGCAGAAACTGCTTATTTACTTGGCTAGTACAGCTTGAGCATTTTGCAGGTGGGGAAGCTGGTCTTCATGATACTTAAGGTGCCCCATCTAGGAGGATCAGCATGACCTGATTCCTAGGGTGCCCGGCCTCCAGGCCCAGCTCTTCTGTCATGTGCCGTCTTCTGAGCACCTAGAACATTTCCAAGTGTAAAACAAATGGAAAAGGGCACCTTTTTCTTCCCCATGTGTTTACTTTTTCATTGTATTTATTTTTAGGGATGCTTCTTACTGCCAGCGAAACCCCCAAGATGGGCATCTATTACATTCCGGTAAGTAATACGAATAGTAGTTATGGTAAAAATAGGATAAGCAAAGACAGTTTATTTTTAAACTGGTTGTATTGAAGGCCTTTGTGTCTGCATGCGGTTGGGTAAATTAAACATAGTGGACTCACTTGTAGTTTCACTTTGCTTCCTGGAGCTAGGAAAATAATGCCTCACCATTCTTTTATGGGAAACTGCTTCCTGTCACATTAAAATACACATTAGGAATTAGTTTTTGTTCTTCAGATTTACATTTGGTTTTTGTTTCCAAGTATTTCAGAATCTTGAGCTTTAAGCTGTTAGTGATCAGGAGGTCTGATTCTAAACCAACATCCTGGTGCCCTTCAGTCATCTTGTTTCTCTTACAAGTAAGTTCTGCCTGAGGAAACTCTCAGATGGGCCTGGTCAGTGGTGGCCTGCAGTCACTGGCCTGGCCTTTTAATCTTCCTTCAAGAATTTTCTTGCATATGACAGAAGCTTCCCTACCTTTACCTTTTAGATTACAGGAAGAAAAAGACATGGGGATGTAGGATCTCCTAAACCGAAAACCACGTAGGACAGAGTCGGCACTAGATTACTTTTCGGCCGGTAAACAGCTCCCTTTCTGAGATTTGGGGAGAAGAGGGTGGGGGTGAGGCGTGTTGCAGAGCAAGACTTGGGGCAGGTAAACTCTGTAGCTGCTGTCAGCCTCCAGTTGGGAAGGTTCTTCATATTTACGATTGTCCTTTTGAAATAGCTTAATGGTGTATTTCCCCAAAAAAGTGTTCTGGTGGATGTCGACTCTCTGTGGTTTCAGGAAACTTGTAAGTTGTTGAAAGCACTTTGAGATACTTCTTTTGGTTGTTAGTGAAACAAAGACCATTCTAGCAGCAAACTTTCATGTTTTTCTAAGTTGTCACTTGTTCCATTTTCCCCAGCCTCTCCGATACTGCTTCCGTATTGCTGTCAGTTTGTCCGTCTTCTTGATTGCATCAACTGTGAGTCAGGTCCGATACTGAATGCCGGCAGGGCGATGGTGTGTAGAAAGAACACTGCCCCTTTCCTCAAAGGAGTTCCCTGGCAGGGAGTGAAGAAAGGAGGCAGTTCAAGTCCAGCATGAGGAGGGCTGTCATGGGAGGAAAGAGAAAAAGAGAAGAGAACCAACCAGTGGAAGGGGCTGGTTTAAGGGCACGGAGGGCCGCATCAGGAGGCCCGCTAAGAGGATAAGGAACCACAGGCCTCAGAGCCCAGAGCTGCGTGTGGTGGAGCCAGGAGGGGCCATCCTGAGTGCTTGTGTGCTAGGGCCACCTCCCCCGTCTGTGCTCCACAGGTGGCAGTGGGGACAGGATTGGAAGATAGACTTGGCCGCTGATGGGACACGGGGATGATGGGACACGGGGAGTAAGAGAGAGGAGGGACCAGAGACTGCAGCCCTTTTTCTGCTTGGGGAACAGGTGGACGAGGAGGAAGAGGGCAGGGAATAGTAAAAATTATTATCTCTTTGGCATCCTTTTCTACATTTTATAAAATGATCTTTAAAAGGAATAAGCACACAACATTGATTAGACGAACAATGTATCATGTTTCTATTTATTCCAAGTGTTTTACAAAGTATAAGGAAATAGAAACCACCCATTTCCCCTTGATAGTATTAAAAACACTATTAATACTGGGATGTAGTATTTTTCAGTTGTGATGTTACTGGTGTGAAGTCGTATTTTGTATACAAATTTGTCCCTGGTTTCTTCAGTTAACTTCAGAAAGGCATTAAAAGTACCCAACACATTTTTAGTTGTCTCTGTTGTTTCGCTTTCATATTAATTGCCATGTCATTAGCACACGGTGTGACATTGTAGGTGTGCGGGACGGGGAGCAGCACTTCCGTCCATCGCTCTGTGCTCCCCACGAGCGCACTCTCGGTCCCTTTCCCCTCTGTCACCCATCCCCCCGGTTATCTGCATTCGTTTCCATTGCCTGGCTTGTGACATTTATATCATCTTGACCTGTAGGAGACCCATTATTCATTTCTCACTCTCTCTGGCTCTTGGGGTGGGCTTTTTTTTGTTCCAAGTAATAGGGACTTTAATCAACATGAATGATAAGGGCTGGTGCTGGCCAGGTGGTGAGAAACTGCTTTCGTGGCACATGTTAGCCTATCTTAGAAGACCTTTTTAGTTTCTGCTTTGTAGCTTGGAGTTAAGCAGGGCTGTGAAGAAAGCCCACAGGGCGGCTCCCAGGTGGCTGCATGTGGCGGCAGTGGGGGCCTGGCGTCCTTGCCCAGCTTAGCACTGTGCTGGGACTTGTACTCAGTGCTCCTTCCTGACCTGCCTTTTTACCCTGAGCTGCATGAGCTTTTACAGTGCCCTCGCCTTTACTTGGAACCTGTTCTTTTGTAAGACTCATTCAGAGCAAGGAGAGAGCCCAGGGGTCTGAAAGCCTGCCATTTTTCATAAGATTTTATCAAACTTACCAAGCTGATATTTGGCACAGCGGTTTGTTTGAGGCCTATAAAACTGGGGAAGTGTGTTTTTAATATACAATTCGTGCCAAATTTAGGAGGTTTGCATTGTGATTTGTTTTAACATCTTATAAATCAGGTATGAAAGCTCTTTTTCCCCCTGCTTTGGGCCTGTACTAAAAAAGGAAGGCCGCTTAATGTTCTTTAAGTTTTGTGTCTCTGATACCATTTTCTTGAATACTTGAAGTTTTTATAGATCAGATGTAATTCCTGATGTATACACTTTGCCGTGTACGGAACCCCATAACTGACTAGTCTTTCATGGCTAGGTGGGTTTTCTCCAGCCCTTTCCCTGTTTTTTTCAGTACACTCCTTTTTTTTTCCCCCTCTCAGAGACCAGGAAGTGTTATTTTGCCTGTTTGTTCGCATTTTAAATTCCACTGTCTAATTCAACTGCAGCTTCTGACACCAATGCCAGGAATAGTTTTTTAGGTTTGGTTTTCCTCTGCAATGTAATTTAATCTTAGGGTAGTTTTTTTATGATTAAACCTTTGGCAACTGTGTGGATTCTAGAAGGAGTCCAAGTGTTCTGTGGCACCCAACTCAAAACCCAGCCAGTGTGGGTTAATATTGTTTCTGTTGGAGATGACCCTGAGTTCCAAGCCCCCAGTGTGCCAGGAGCTCCCGAAACCCCTCACGACTGGAGAGTTGATTGCACGCTTGATAATATGTATGGATGTGTAACCTTGAGGAAAAATGTAAAAGGAAAATGCATCATTATTTGTTTAGGAAGCTATTTGATTTAGAAGAATAAAAGTCAATTAAAGATCTATTTTTAGAACATGCAGGGGCACCTGGGTGACTCTGTCGGTTAAGTGTCTGACTCTTGATTTTGGCTCAGGTCATAATCTCAGGGTCATGAGATCTGAGCCCCACATTGGGCTCCGTACTGGGCTTAGAGGCTGCTTGAGAGTCTCTCTCCCCCTCTCCCTCTCCCGCTCAGAAGCCCTCAAAAAAAAAAAACCCCAAAACAAACAAAAAAATAAAACATGTAATTTAAGCCACTATAAAGATTATATGCAGTGTCACTGAACCCAATAGTCAATATTGGTAGTTAAGTATTTTAAAGCACTTTCTTAGGAAAAAAGACAACTATTGTTTTATTGAAATGTTTTTATTATTCATAAAAAATCAGCCAAGCATTAAATATTTTAACATTCACTATTTGAAGGTATGTTTTAAATTTGGAAAGTATTTTTGGAGCCAAAGTACCTGAAAATGGGGCAGGATTTCGAATATTATAAGTCCACAATTTGAAATATTACAAATAAAAACAATATTCAAATAAAAACATAAAGGATTATATTTAACCTGCCCTAGCACTTTTGTTTCTGTTGGGAAATAGCACTGGAACTCAGCCAGCATAATGCATAAAACCCATAAAACTCTGTCTTTGCAAATAGAGATAACTAGGTGTTAAGAAGCATAAACGCTCAAGAATACTTGCTTCATTTAATTATAAAAACACACACACACACATCTTCACAAAGGCATGAAAAGCCAAGGGAAATAAAACATTTTTTAGTTGTGAAATATAATAAAAGGCTCAAACTAAAGAATGAGTGTAAGTCTCTTCACTTCATTGAGTTATCACCAATCCTGAAAGGCCTGTGGTAGAGCCTCGGACATCTAATACTATCACTGGGTTCATTGCTCCTGTCTTCATAGGGCCTTAGTCACTGGTTTGGGTCAAACGTCCGTGCTGTGGTCCTCAGGGAGGCACACTGTCAGTGAGTATTGCCTGGTTTTGGGGGGGGTCAGTGCTTTTGAAATCAGTTGTAGCATTTGGAAGTTACTCTTAGGAAGTGGCATGAAAACTTTCTAGTCACCATATGGATGCTTGCGTTTGGGTGCATTGGGTGGTTGCTCCAGCAGAGGATTAAAAATGGGTACTGGAATTTTCTCAGTATTTTCTGCTTGATAGACTTGTGTGACCAAAACAAAGAAACTTCGGTACAAATGATTTTGCCTGCTCTGTCTGTGGCAGATTGAATTTGTTAGTCTAGTTCTGAACTCAGTCACTCTGTTAGATTGGTACAGAGGCATTTCTGGATACTTGTTCATTGCTATGTGGCCACTCTCCGATACGGCATCTTTTTTTTTTAAGTCCAGGATTTCAGATATTACTGCTCTGGGGTGCTTTGGCATAATTTTTCAGAAGACTTAGGAACATAGCCAGAGAGTGCTTCCTAACAATTGCTCCTTACCTTCACCTCTTAAGAAGACAACATATTTTTATTGGTTATCCAAATTGTAAATAAGTTATATTGTTAGACTTGACAGTGTCTGAAAAGTAAGTGCTTAAAATTCTTAGGTGGGTGACTCCTTTGCTCTTTTTTCTGTTGGCCTTTTTGTCTTTTCCTGTGTTATAAAAGTAAATGGAGGAGACTGGTGCTTCTGTTTATTCAGCAATAATATACTGAGCATGTGCTTGGATGCAGGAATGTGTCGGTGAATGCAACTGTCTTCCTACCCTGCCTTTGTGAGTTCACAATCTAGGGGAGGGTGG